TAATTCCTCCTGACATGATGAGAAAGTTCCAAAGTTCTTAACCCAATAGAACCAAATGGCTGGATTTCAAAAATCCAGGAGCTGATTCTGGCCCACTGTAAAGACTGTTTTGCTTTTGGCCTCTATCCTGTTTCTGCCATGTACCACAGTTGAGGATATTTGGCATGGCAACAAATCCATAGATCCAGTTTTCCCAGCTCTTTCTGAATGCTCCATGCTCCCTCCCACCAAATCTTTGCAGACACTGAGGCTGCAAAGTGCTGCAGAACTGCAGTCAGGAATTTCACGTTGGTCAGGAGTTACACTCACTGTACTCTCATCCTAGTCCATCCATATTGCATTTTATACACTATGGTGGGACTGTGAGACATCACTGAGGTCTGATTGGCAGAGCTGTCCTGAATCACCATCTCTAAGGGGAAAACCACCACATTTCTATCCTTTCTTTCCAGTTATTTATTTTACCCAGTAAATACCATGTTTCCTTGTTTTTAAAAGTTGTTTTATGGAAAACATTTAGTTTGTGGTTTCTGCACTCATAATAAAGCATAATATTTATGCTGGACATCTGTATGCTAAAAACTGCTTTTAAGAATAAACTTCCAGCTGTAAATGGATTCCATCAGCTTACCCCCTTTCCTGCCCCAGTGTCTGGCACATTGGCTGTGCAGCAGAGCTGTGCAGAGCAGTACAACTGGAACATTGCACAACTTCCAGACAGATTGTTAGAGTGATAAATAAGGGTTCTAGCAGATGGAAGCTCTTTCCTACTTGCCATTTTACAAAGTGTAAGAAGCACAGATCACTACAGCAGTGAGATTTGTTTCAGCTGCCACTAACAACCTTTTAAGAAAGATGCTTACAACCCCTGGGAAAAAGTCAGGGTGCTCTGTCACCTTTTGCAAATATGATTTATTAACATCCAACTAAATTGCTTACAGAGACAAAAATAATAAATCAAGTTGTGCATCAAGGTACTCCAATGTTATTACAAATATTTGGAGTGAAGCAGAAAACAGGGATGGTCCTGACTACAGAGAGACTTCTCAAATATCTGAAAGTCAGCAATAATTCTAATACATAAGATACCTTTCCTCATTCTGAAATCACTAATGTCCTATCAAGACAAACAACAAATTCAGCATTTAGCAGCTTTGTTTATGTAATACCTCATACATGTGAGATGGTTTTCCAATACTGAACTAGGAAAATACTGTTAACACAAAGATCAGATTCTCAGGGATGCCAATCATCTCCAATGTGTGGAGGTGATGGACATCATCACCTCTTGTGGATCAGCATCCCAAACATTCTCATAAGCTTTAATTCAGTTTTGTTTTACACATTAAAACACCAAATCCACAATTTATATTTTAAAAAAATGAACCATTTAAAATAATTCTTGAACATATGGCAACTACTTACGCGGAAAATTTCTCTTATTGCTTTCAAAAAGCTGCAGCAAGAGCAGTAGCTAAGAACTGAGCAGTACAGTAATACATGTGGTGGTAGGTTACAGCATGTACTAAGTTTCAAAAGGTAAGCCAGATAATGTGCAGTTTCTTATATGCCCACAGCTGCTGGAGTAAGTTGCACCCACCAGTAGCTAGAAAATAGAAAGGATGAGTTATTGAACACTGTGAATTTTATTTATTGTAGGAATAATTCAGGAATGAAAACACACTCAACCAAAAAAACCCTGTAATTTTATTGTCACTCATTTGAATAGCACCATCTCATTCTAGCCCTTGCAAGATGTATTCAGATATGTGGACGAGTTGGATGTCATCCTTCTCGCTATTAAAATGCACCATGGGCCAAGTTTTGCACTCCTCTTCAGCTTGCCCCCTCTGCATGAATTGTACACAAAAAAGAAGCCATACTGAACAAAGCAGGATCTGCTGAAAGTTTCCTGCTCCGCCAAGCTGGTCATTTGGAGAGACAACACAAGAGATTTACACAAAAGCAGATGCAAGGACATTTGTAATTAGGATCTGCTGACCAGATATAGCTTCATATTTTGATAGCACACTACCCTTACCAGGTCTGACTCCAGAGAGTAAGAAAGTCATATTCACAGTCAAAGAAAAGATACAGAAGGAATTTATGGGGAAAAAAATTTAACTACAGCCTCTAGGTATGATTTATCATTTGTTGCTATGGGCTGTTTTCCTATTCATCAGGTTATTTTATTTAAGAGAAAAATGGGACACTGAATAAGGGACCACAAAGAAAACCTGAGCAGGACTGTAAACAGCTGAGGTAAAGGAGGGGGAGGGGGCATGGAAAGGGGTGAAGTCTTTGTTAGGCTGGGGTTTTTGGGGGCGTTGTTTGTTTTGAGACCAGCACTGGACCATTGTGCAATGTGAAAGCTGTCCCTGGTTGGGCCCTAATTTCTGGTCCCATGAGTTGGTGTTCTTTCTGTACCATGATCTGGACTCAACACTAAGCTGCCAGGCAGTACAGGTGAATGTGTTTGCAACCATTATGTCCTTCAGGGGCCAGATTTTAAAAGAAAGCAGCAATCCTGTTTCCCGTCTTTCAAAGAAAACTGGTTGGTGTAAGAACAGATCTCCAGGATGTTTCTGTATCAAAATTTGGGCTGGTTTTTGCATTCCTTCCAGTCATCTAACTTTCCAAGCTCTGCATAAAGAATCTAAGTACAGACCGCTGGATCTATATTTCAAAAAGTGTCTAAAAAGTTTTCCAGTGCTGGAAAACTATCACATCAAGCATATCTCAGAGAACAGAGATCCAGAAAGGAATGCAGTGATTAATGGTGCATTCTAGATCCACTTTGTCTAAAGGGCACTTTAGACCACCCAGAGTTGCCTCCTGAACAAGTGATGCTGTTTGGTAATCCAAAATTTACACAAAATCAGAAACTAAGCATCAAGCCTGCAAATCTGAAAGGAGAGCTGCGGGTTTCAGTTCCTATGTATAATATTTCCCTGGATTTCTTTTTCTTTCTATGCTTTAAAACTTGAATAATCACACAGGGGTTCAACACCCAAAGGCCTAAGCTGCTCCATCACCTTGATGGAAGTTTATAGTGAGGGTTTTACTTTATGAAGAGACACACACAGAAAGGCAGAGCTGCACGAGTGCTTCTCAAACTGGCCTCCAAATTCATATTAAGCAGTGTTTGTAAAGTCATGAAATAAGACAGCTACAACAGCAGGCAAGGGTCATCAGGAAATTTTAAGACTGGTCCATAGAGCCACACACCTTGGGGATAACATCTGTGTATGAAAGGAAGCAGTTAAGTTGCCTGATGCATTCTTTTTTTTTTACCATTCAGGGTAGAAATAGTGGGTAAAACGTCCCTCAGTGTCAGTTATTAAGAATAACAGTTGTCTTCGTTATACTGCAGAAAGCTAATATAAATTTTGTACCCATTAACACAGCTGAAGTTTTGGGGAAGAAAATTACCAAAATTTCAGATTTTACCAAGAGTAACTTTATAGAATATATTAACTTTGTGAATGTTGAATATATTTACATGCAGAAATACACAGAACTAACATCAAGACAAATTTCTTCCACTTCTTAATATACAGATAACAGAAGTTTAACAACTAAACCCAATTGTTTCATACAAAAGTAAGCAGGGAAAACTATACTGCAGTTGGAAATGTGGGGTCAGAGGATCATTCACAACTGGTTACATTGTGTTTGGAGGTGTGTATTACAGATTTACAAAAGGAGCAATTACTTGTTCAACGATTTTGCTTCATGCATTTAAGAAACACCCTGGATTATTCTCAGGCATTTTTACGGAGACAGTGCTAAAACTCTGGAGTTTACTTTCTTGATACAGAAATTTTGATGAAGAAATTTTTATATAAGGCACTGCTCAGCCCAATGCTTCTTGTCATTCACCCCATGTCTGTATTTCAGAGAGTTTGGAGTGTTAGAGAAATCAGACTTGGCACTGCCAGTCTGATTTCTCAAAAATCCTGACTCAAATACCCCATATGAGACTTGTTTTGTTTCATACCTGTGTGGGGGAATCCCCTGCACACACAGAACACACAAACCCAGCAATCAGATCAGGCAGTATCACAGTAGCTGCCAAATATGACAATGAGCAAGCTTAATGCAGCCTCCACAAATTTTGCTCCTTTTCTTAAAAGCTTTTATTTCCTCTACCCTCTTTTGTTTTTAAATGAATCTTAATTTTAGTATAAATTGTAATTACCAACAGCAAGGATAATTGCAATTATCAACTCATTTCTGTGCCAGGTTTTGACAGTTAATACAAGGATAAAAGACAGGAAGGGAACAAGGCATGAAGAGAACCTCATTTTTCTTGAAAAGCCAAACAGCCCCCAAAGTTTGAGACTTCCTTTGGAATCAAAGCCCAGATTTTGTCTTCATATAAGTGTGAACCTTGCCTTGTTTAAAGCTGCTGGCATGGTAGTCAAGTTTTTCGAAGACATATTAATTAGATATAATTATGCTAACTTCTTTGGTAATAAATTATGGAAATGATGGTGAGGCAGATCCTGGGCAAAATGAAAAATGGTGAAAAAGCACTCATCTGCCTCTGAGACAATGAGGCTTCAAGGTAATAGAAACCAAAGTACAAATATACATCTAATCTGACACCACAGATTTTGCTTAAAATTTAAAGCCTTCATAGTATTTCCTTCATGATACATATAATACAAAGATCCATTTTTAATAGATTTTCTCTAGAACAATGCAGCACAATTGCAGTAAAGTGCAAGCTTTTCTAAGCTATTAGTCTGTCCTCCTAGGAGTCTACTTTATCCATACCATATCCAGTTGTTCCAGCCATAAGCCAATTTAACAAACCCAGCATTTGGGTTTGTTTTGTGTCTTTAGAGTGGCATGTAAAGAAAAGAAAAGGGTGTGATGACAGAATGCAGGTCTATCATATAGAAAACTGCATTGCTGCCAGAGAGTTGCAGACACACGGAGCAGATTTGAAGAACCATGGATCAGGCTTGGGTTGCAGATATGTGTGACTGATCTATCTTTTAAATTAGTCTGTTAATGACTGTGGCATTGTGATTTGATGAAAAAAAACCAACAATACTACCCATCTCTATAATCTTCATTCAAAAGTGAGGCTTCTGCTACATTTGCTTCCTGTTAAATTTCTGACCTATGGTTTAGTAGCTTCACATATTGAACCATACATATAAAATTACAGGAAAGGGATGCAATTGATTTAGTGCAAGACGTTTAAATATCTATCTGAACTTAACAAAAAAACAGAGGAAGATCAAAGACTCCAAACACTTCTCCATAAGGCAGATGGTAATTTTTTAAATATAAGATTTTAAATACGTTATTTCTTAAGAGGTAGAAAATATCAAAATACTAGGAAAAAATTTCTAGCTTAAAATAATCAGTTTGCTTACTTTTTAAAAAGTCTTACTGCTGCAATTTTTAAGTGAATAAAAACAAATGAAGCTATGGAAGCACAGGATTTCGTGCTTTGTATAAGATTTCACTTACTGGAAAAAGAGAGAGCTTCTTCATCTAGTCAGTGCTCAAGCAGTATTTACAAATGATCTCCTCTTTTTGCCCTGTTGGGGGCTATAAATTTGAAGTGAAAATTTTTCCCAGTGGAAAATTTTGGCGATTCCTGACTTTCTAGCACTACATTTAACCAGGTACAGTTTATGTATAAGGCAGTAGAACCACCGACGTAAGCTCAGAACTACCTCTTCCACAAAGCTCAGAAGGAAGTTAATAGAAACAAAAGCTTACTTAAATCTTTCCTGCAGACAGCAAAAGATCACAGTTAGATTCCAGCACCAGCTGATAATCTGTTTTAGCAATTTATACCAGCCCAGAGACGGCTGAACTACTCATTGCACTGTGGAAGCCTACCTACAATTTGAGTTACTAAGGCTTGCACTCTTCCTCAGCACAGCTAGGAGATGCTGATGCTACTGTCTCCAATGCAATTCAGTAAGGCATAATTTAACTCAGAACTAACATTATTACACATTGAAAAAGTAGTGTAAAAGCTCCTCTCTTTTCCATCTGTTAACATTCAGCACTATTTATTAAATATTTTATAAAAGGAAGTTAGGATATTTATACATTCAAACAATCACTGCAATAGTTGAGTAAAGGAAACAAATGAATTACCAGATTCTAAATTAAGCATGATTCTGGAGATTTGCACATATGCATACACCACACACATTCTGTATGTGTGTGTGTATATATAGATATATAGTTATATTTTATATATGTCTTTTAAATCAGATCCAAGAATACAGCACAGAATGTCTTCACTTAGCTCCTCTTTCACCAGAGGACAGGATTGTCCAGTTTGGAAAAACCAGGTTCTTTCCTAAGGTCCATGTAGGTTCCATTGCTCACCCAGGAGTCATCGCTGGATTTCCTATCAAAGATTAAACAAATGTAAGCTTATTTTTTCCATCTATATGCTGTGTAATGCAGTGTAGCACCATGCACAGATACCAAATCCAGCCCACAAACCAGGAGCAGTGCAGCTCATTGCAGCCTGCAAACAAGGCAGTACAGCTTGGTGTGTCTGCAGTGGGCCAAGGAGAGGCATCTCAATCTCATGTTCACCAGAGAACATCACTATTAAAGAGCCAAATGCATTAACTCCTATCTGCTCTAATACTTTTGCTATATAATAATTAAATTCTTTATTCCACCATTTAATTCTACAGGATAAATCTCAGCTTTCAAATCCTCATTGTAAGGATTCAAATCCTCATTCTTATTCACAATTCTCATTGTGAATATACAATCACAAAGTATTAGACTTTGCCTTTATCCTGCTTCCCTTTAGTAGGTGTGATTGGCATGTGATGAGTTATCTCACCAGCTTGTCAGATGTAGTAGTGTAAGCCATTCCCTTTTGCACCTATTTAAACCATTCCAGTGTTCCTCAGAAGTACAGTATAGATATATCCAGAAAAAATAGGATCCTAGATCTGCTAATAGGCCCATACAACATTTATCTTGGCTCCAACTCTTTCACTGCAGGAGGACAGAGAAACTAGGGGGCAAAAGACCACATCCTCACCAGCATTCCTTTTTGTCTTTTGATGCCTCAAGTCTCCTGTTTAACTGATTTACAACAGGAAGAGATAAAATGCCCTCAGAACAATAATTCTCTCCCCCTAAAATAGGGGAAGCATGTTCAAAAATAGCCCTGGAAGTGAAAGGCTCCAACTCTGCACATTTCCACACCAGGCAATCCCACTGAATTCAGCAGAGGTAATTGAGCTAAATCCAGCTACTCCAGTTTGCTTCAAAGAATCAAAGGTGCTACATTCACTCAGGCAAATTCAAATGTAGACCAATTGCCATCAATGCAAAAAAAAAAATAAAATTCAGGGATGTACTAATAGAAAACTAATACATAACTGTGAGTTTTAACCAAGTCGGGAGTATTCTACATTACCAAAGTACAAACCCAAAGTATATGGGGGAGCCCTGGAAAACACTGGAGCCTCTCACATGGAAATTCAGAATCAGATCTATAATAAGCGTTTCAATAAATGACAGTATATGCTAATTATTATCTAGTACCTGAAAAATCTAGGCTGATGCTCTAGATTGTTTTCTTCTAGCACCTTCCGTCGCTCTCGCTGTAGCTGCTCGATCCTCTGCTTTTGCATTTCAGCTCCTTCAATATTCCCTTCTTCCAGAAACCTGCAGCAGCAGTGATATAAACAATTGGTCTCCTGCCCCCAGAAGAATCTAATCTTTCCAGCAGGTATTTCACAGTGTTTGAAAGGTAAACAGCTACCTCTGCAGACAACTGCACTATGAAAAAACACTTCAGGAAAACTAACTCTTGTAGCAAGCTCAGAGTCACAGTTAAATTAGATTCTTCTACTTGGAAATTTGCAAAAGCTAAAATTTCACTGCAGAAAGGAGTTTCTAGTGTCTCAGTTTTCGGTTACTCAAATATTGTATGCTCAATATCCAGTACCTGAAGTACTGAGGTTTTAACATCCTTGGAAAGACAGTTATCTAGAAGCATCCAAGAGGCAATTTTAGGACACACTTCCATAATAACTAGACCATTTCTCAATAAGTGATTACAATGTCTGTTTCAGATGCACATTAATGTAAAAATAGAAACACACTGCAGTTATCCACAGAAAATAGTCTGAGTTCAGGGTAAAGTGAGTGTACAAAAGATTAAGAACTATTTTAGGAAAATATTTCGGAGTTGAAGGTTCTTACCTTTGGTCTGGCCTAAAACGTGTGTCAGTGGATGGGAGTAATGACCTAGTTTGTGGGTCCAGTTCATTTAACTCCAGTGCAAATTGTGTAAATCCATACCACTGTTCATAATCTTTAGGCATTGGATCTACAGAAGAAAAAAGTACATTCAGAATTTAAATTAAATGCTATTATATTGAGAAAGAAAATTTCAAGCTCCCACCAGTCATTTGTTTATGCCTGATCCACAGTGTCAATTCTGGGGGAACAAGAGGTTTTTAATAATGTGACAAAAGAGAACATCCCCCTTGATAATTGCACTGCTACAAGACAGATTTCTGTTCTCTCAGCTGAATCACAGCACAACTGTGATGAAGGCCATGCTATTATCATAATGTTTTTTTCAAAACACAGTAGACAAAACCCCACAAGCTTGGGAGAAATTCAGCTATCACTGTCATTACAGAATTGAGCTTTGTGGGCTATCCTCCAGTGTTCAACACATGAAATAAACAACACTTCTCTGCACAAACAGTAGGAGTTTGTTCCTTTTTTTCCCCTTCCTGCTAGAGTCCTCAATACTCACTTCATGCCCAAATATGAAAATGAGGGAGAATGGAGAAAATTCAGGAAGCCATGGGATTAAGTTCTCATATCATTTAAATTATCTATTCTTCTGATGTAAGTTTTAAATGCTTGACAAAAATCTAATGTCCTACAGAAAAATAACAAGAAATTGGAGCATAATAAAGATATGAAAACAGTAAGCTTATACTGAAGATCCCAGTTTGTGTACATGAGCAATTCTGATCACTAACTTGCTCTCCATATGCAGTTTGAAGATGAAGTTGTCCCACAGTACAAACTTTCATGCCACTTCCCAAAGAGTCGATGCACAACTTTCCCAGATTTATCCATGACACTGCCTTCAATCTCATGTGCATTTGGACTCCAATACTTTGCCTAGAATGAAAAGGAACAAGGAGAAAGAAGGTACATAGGAGCTCAAGTGCAGCCCATTTTGCCATGCCAGCAGCACCAGGCTGTAGAGCAATGATAGTTGTTCATTTAGGTGTGCATACAATGTCAAGTGCAAACAACTGCTGTTACTACCATTAAAATACAAACCTATTAGTATGTTAGCTTCTTAAAATACTGGTGTTGAAAACTGTATTTATTTTGTTTGCTTTTTTTTAGGGGCAGTATGAGGTAAAGTGCAGCTGACCCTGAATTTTGCCCAAGGACAGTTGACCCTGAGTCCTGACTTGGTTATCTACATCTCTCCCAAATTTGCAGAAGAGGAAGAGAAGGAATTCATACGTTAATCTCCACTTTAAACACTTTACAATATCAAAGGTGTGAGATTTGCAGGCTCTCAGCCTTAAATATTCGAACTTTAGGCATCCAGAGTAGCTCTGAAAATACATGAAAGTACTTTCAAGTAAGTATTTGGGAAAAAAAAATTATCCTAATGCTTCTTAGAAAGCACAAAGTATTCAGGAAAACAAATTAAAAAACCCCAAAGTTGCTGGGGAGCATGCCATGTGCATAGGTACACTGAAGTACTGTATCCCTTGTATTTGTATGGTCTGTTTTATGTCCAGCAGAGCCTTTCTCCATCAATCAGATACACAAAATGCAGGTTAAGGTAAGTCTCTTAGGATGATTTATAAAAGTATTTCTCAGATTAGAAATTTTGGCATTTCTTTACATTTTCATTGATTTTCATTTACTACAAAGTAATCTATTGCCAAAAACTGAATTTCATTTCAGTTATAAGGACAATTCCTGAAGAAGTCATATACTGTACTTGTACTGAAGCAAAAGCTTTGAGTAACACCCCAACCTCTTACTCAAACTCCTCTGAGAACCTGAAAAGGGCTAGAAAAGAGCATCAGGAGAAACACCCTGCTTAAGCACTGGTCCTACAGCTGCTGAATGGCTGCAAGCACAGCATGTGCCAGTGGGCCAGTAGGAGGCATGTGGTAACCAATGTCAGTAGCCACCTTGTGCCTTTGTCTCTCATCAAACCCAGAGTAGGTTTTCCATGATATTCCTTTCCCCATAATTCCTCCGTTTCCAGTGGAATCACTCAAGAAAGCTGTTGCTTCTCTTTTGTGTCTAGTGAGTGGCAGTTCCTTCAAAGTTACAGTTTTCAAGGAATCACAGGTAATTACAGCTTGTAAGCAGAAGTGCTGAGCTTCAGCAGGGAGCATCCTCCCACTGCTGTGCCTGTTAGAAAAGGCAGAGCCAGCACTGCTGTGGTTACCTTTATGAAAGTCAGCTTGCAGTGGCACGTGTCATCATTTAGATTTTTTATGATGATCTCTCCATAGTGTTCAATCCATCTTTGCCCACTCAAGATGTTATGGATGCAGGATGTCACCTTGTTCCATGCAAAATGGTCTTTAAAACTGTAAGGAAAAATACACACAAGAAAATTGTCATGCCATGTTCAAGTGAGCTCAAGCTTGAGGAAAAACATTTGCAGGCAACTTGATTAGAGAAACCAAATAAACTTTTTTTTTACTAGACTGCTTCATCTTGTTCCAAGCCTTCTAAAAAACAAACCCTATGGCAACAATCCCACCTCCCAGAAAATCCTTTTCACTTCTGCTAGATACTTTGGTCTTGAATTCAGTTTTCTCTCTATCTACTTGTCCTTCTAACCAGTTTTAAGTTTCCAGAAGTAATCATTCTGGTATCTACTATAGTCTGAGATGCCCATCCAAGCTTGTAACACAGTGACAATGGAGAACACAAGGACATGGGCCACCAGAACATGTACTTGGCTCAAAAATAAGCTTGGCTCAAGCCCTCAAGGCTGAGCCTAACATGTGTGCTTTAGGCAAGAGCCAAAGTTCTCACCAGGCACTTCAAGATGCAGTTGCACACTGGGAAACAGCAGACAGGGAGAAATAAACAAGTACCAATAGTGAATGCAACATTTCACCTTTTATGAAAGAAGTAGATGCTCTTATAAAACAGCTTTATAAAGCATCAAGGAAAGGAAAGTCTCATGAAGACATACATTCTACAATTTCTTCTGGGTATGGATGGCCAACTCACCACAGGTAAGGTAAAATATAAACTTACAAAGCACCACTTTCCCCAGAGCAAGTGCCTCACACACTTCCTTTTGAAGTTACTGGAATCTTTCCCTTCCTCCCCTTAATCACTTGCTGCTTTCTAAGGGCACACACAAGGACAGTTTGTACAGACTTGCAGATATGCAGCCAATTTATCCCACAGTAACTTGTTTTTCTGCCCTTACCTACACATGTTATCATAAATGCTAAAACCATCTATTAGTTTCAAAATGAACCTTAATACTAATGCTTAATTTTCCCCATAGCCTGGGCACCTTTTTTGTACCCAATTCTGTATCAAATAAACAGGGATACAAATCAACACATGGAGATCACACATGAATCAGATTGCTTCCCAGTTCATCAGCCCATCATAGGCCCTAATATATTAATTATTTTGGCTCTGAGCACTCATTCACATCATTTCATTTCAAAGCTTAGGGCAGGTGCTATGAACATAACATGGTTTATACATCACCTTTTGGATACTATCTTACTAGACTACAACTTTATCCACTTGAAAAAAAAAAAAGACATGCTTGATTTGATGAGTGCTAGGTACTTGAATTCTTTGTTGTTTTTGTTTTTTTTTTTTCAGATGGCAGGATGGCAGATTAATTAATTTTGTACTTTCTCACTGGAAAACAGATTTAATTGGAACAATACTCAACCTTTAGACCTCTGGTTCTGCAAACATGATGGATATAGGCCAAATTTTAAGGGATTTTAATTGCTCATCAATAATGGGCACTCTGACAAGCCAGCATTGAAACACTACAGATTTTTATTTAAAAAAACAAAAGGAAACAAACCAATTATACTCAACACTTCACTACAGTGGCTGCCTCCTTGGATAACGGACACCAGATATGTAAGTGGTTCTACTTATCACTTACAGTCATTATTTCTGCAGTGATGATGGTTGTCTGCCTTGCCTACAGCCCAGAACACCCCATGGTGTCAGGGTCCCTACAAATATAGTTAAAAAAGACAGGAACACCACCACCTCTTCCCCCAAGCCCATACTCGACCAAAAGAATTCATAGCTTCCTTTACCCTACAGTTTTTCCCTGTGAGTTTAAAATGCATTAAAGTTGAAATTCAACTGAAGTATGAAAATACCTTTTCATTCCTTCAAAAATGAAGTATGAAAAGGTATTTTCTTTTTTCAAGGTACACAAAAGTAAAGGGTTTTTTTTCATTGTTCGTGTTTCATAACTTTTGAAAGAGTCAGTGCTTCTGATTTATGCTTCTGGTTTTGGTTCGGTGGGGTCTTTCTTCCTCCCCTTTTCTCTTTAAATGAATTCAAAGGCCCCAGTCCTTCCAAAGGGCAGAGCAGAGCTGGCTGTCCTCTGAATGAACGTGGCTGCAGTGTGTGCAAGCACCAATGCCTGTGCAGGAACAGCAGAGCCCAGTGGCGGCACTTACGCTGGAAGAGTTACGTGTGTTGTGCCAACTGGAACAATCTCCATGGACTTCCCCCAGAATTTGTTTTTCCATCTGACATCTGGAACAAGAAGTAAAAAAAAGACAGGTTTAGTCACAGGTGGGTGAATCATGCTGTTTCTGGCTTCTACTTTATTTTCAAGAAACTCAAAATGACAAAGTTCAACAGAAGCATTCAAAGAATGTTGTGGGACCTTCAAATACATGATGGTGGGTTCGGTGTTGTTGCTGTTTGCTTTTTTTGATTTTCATCATAATACTGGTTATTTAAATAGCAAAGTAACAGATGTTTAACAGTCCTCTCAAAAATTTTTGCAAAATAAAGGAATTTGAATAAACCATAGGCAGCATATACTTGTCTGCAGTTCAGTTGCATTCATGCAGACATTTTCAAAGACAAAAGCAGAATTTCAAATACAAAAATTTAACAAGAAAATTCACAGTCAAGAGGCTAAAGAAGGTTTCAAATGGCATAAAATGGCGGAGGGTTTTAGTCCAACTCCCTCTGTAAGTTTAACTGGTCTTTTGAAATCTTGTTTGAATCACAGAAAGAGGAGTCCAAGCCTCATGCCTTTTCTTCAAAAATATAAAAAATATAAGAAAACTCAATGCAAGTTTAGCCAAATTTATTGAGCAAAAGCACCTGAAAAAGAAAGAAACAGAGAGAAGCATGGCAAAATGTGTGTATAGTTAAACTGGGCTAGATAACCAGGCAGTGACTTTCACAGTAACTTCAGAGCTCAGAGGAATAGTACCATTCCTGTTTTAGACTCTAGGAACTCCATTCCCTGCCCAACCCAAAAAAGAGGCAAGACTTAAACTCTAGTCTCAAAAAGATGCTAGTTCTAACAGAAGGAAAACAAAACACCATTTCCTGTGTAATTCTGGGGGAAATTCTTACACTGGTTGTGAGATGGATGCTCAAACCACAGCTAAGAAATTACTCAGGTATCCCCCGAGTATGTATGTGCAAGTGAGGAATGAGCCACACTGGGCTGCCAAGACCAGAATGGGATACAGGGCAGAATTCTGCACACAAAGAAATTACTTTTCTTATCATGTGAGAAAAGGACCTTTTGAGTTTTTGGCTTTGAAGTCTGGTGCTGGGTCAGCATCTTCAGTGACAGTGATTCTCTTGTGATTCCTACACTGCACAAGTGCTCCAAAGCTACTTCCAGTGTGATGCTGTTGAGGCAAATTCTGTCCTGGCTTTCTCTCTTCAGCAGTGGGATGGAAGAGAAAGGGCAAAGGTACACCCTACCAAATTTAACAGTTAAAATGCATCACCAGATTGTGCCAAATTCTATGCTCTCATAAATGGCAAAGCTGTCCCACAGAGATCAGCATGTGGGAAACATCTTGGGAGCCAGGGTACAACTTGATCACACAAGAATTTTAGGACAGAAGAGAAAAAGCAAAGTGTTATTTCAAAGCTGTGCTCACACTAATTCATGCACAGATGCTGGAATAGCTGAAACTTCCTTCATTTCCACTGCTCATGTGTTGACACTCCTCTGCAAAAGCAGTGCCAGCTTCCTAAGTCATGGAAAGCTATTTCCAAACTATTGGTGCCTGTGAGAGCCTAGTCTTCAGTTCACAAGATGTGATCAGGAGATTCCTTGGTGATGGAACACATGAACTAAGGTCAGTGCCTGGTGGGATGACAGCACTACCCTGGCAATGTTGCTGTCTCCTTTTGAGCTGAGAAGGCGACACAGTAAGTGAAAAGGTCTTTGCACACAGAAAGAACTGAACTCACTGACAAGCTGCCTTTATGATTAAATTGGTGTTAATCTTTCCATGTAAGTTAACATAGCCTCATTACAAGAGGTCAAAGCATTTTAAAATTGCCTTTACAATGGAAAAAAAAATCACTGTCTAGCCCTCCCATAAGCTCAGCCAGCCATATTTAAAAACAAAGCAAACAAAAATCCCCAATCCTGCTGCACCCTGACTGAATGTCCTATGCCCATCAGGACCAAATCTCAGACTTTAACAGTAATCAGATTCTCATCTCTCATTAGAAGAACTTCATTCTCTAAATGGAAGTGTTAAAATATTTGAATGATAAGAGTTGTCAAAATCTGTTAAACAAATCAGTCTCATCTATCTTTATTAAGACAGGGTGCTATCTGATCTTATTTAAACAGTGTTCAAGTTACTGAATAAATTTTTGGTCATCTTAGCTTTTGGGCTATGAACAAAAGGATTCTTGTGTCTCTGTATTTGTTTACAAAGCAAAGAATTACACAGAATAATAAAGCCCAGACTAATGGGTTCCAATATCTGTTCAGTATGGCTCCATCTGTGATAACTATAATCAAGTCAGCAGAGCCAATCAGGAAAAAAAAAGATGACAATATGGCCACATTGTGATTTGACAAACCCCTGGGTGAAGGATTTTAAGTGAGTTAAAAGGCATGGTTATGTTTTGTGTGCACTCCAAAATAATCTAATCACACAGGTGCTGTTACTGGCTGATACCTTCACTACAGTACACAGCAAACAAAACTACTGTTTTGAAAAAAAACAGTAGTCAAATAGCACAAAATCTTACATACTGTAATAATGCCAGCAGAGAAAGAGAAGGTAAATGTATTTACCCTTGCTGTTATGCTCATTTCTGAAAATTGCTTTCAGAACAGGTTTACAAGATTTGCCAAGGTTCAGGATTTAACTTGTAGTGTTTTCATGCTGTCTTCAGGCTTGTTTGTTTTATAAATAGCTTGACATGCAATTCTTTTTTACTAAAAAACAACATCCCTCCCCAACACGCCAAACAAACCTGATTTTAAAGAAGAACAGATATTTGTACATGAAAATAATAATCAATTAATGTTACATGAAAAAAATCCAAACAAAGCAAAATCTCTTGAGAATTTTTATAATAGCAGAGGATCCAAGTAAGAAGCATGCAAGTAAGGATAGGCTAAGATTTCATAAAACCATTCTAATACAAATTTAAGCAAGGAATTTAAAATTTTCCTAACTTCTGGATACTTTGTATCAGACATACAATTAAAACATTATGAACATTGTAAAAGTAAATGACAGACTGAAGAGTTACCTTGCCAAAAAGCAAAATTCACAGATTCAGCATGGCATGCAGAAATAGGTGGGTGGTGACTGACCTAAGAGCAAGACATGAAAAGAGAGGGGAAAAAAAGATTAACATATGAACACTTGAACAGTCCTTTTGGTTTGGCTTCTTTTGTTTTGTTTTCTCCTTCATTCCCATATGGCATTTACAATTTGAACATTAGTTTTCACTTTGCAGTTGTGTCCTGAAGGGGGAGGCAGTGAGATTAATAAAGGCTCTCAGACCCAAGAAACCTTGAAAGAAATGGCAAACAATTATTTTGAAAGGCCTGAGATTTTGTTCCAGTGAAAACCTAGCAATATACTTTGTACATTGTCTCTAAGGTAACAATTAAATTTACCCTTAGGACCTCTTAAGAGATTAACAAAAACCACACTTTGACTGCACAGACAAAAATTTTCAAAAAACCAAAAACACAACAAAGAGCCAAAAGCTTCTGTACAGTGAATAACCACAAAACCCTGAGTATGAGGGAGCAGATGGTGATCAGCATCTCCAAGGGGTCAGGGGTGAAGAAATGAAGCCAGGAAATTCCATCCAGCAATCCCCACCAGTGCCGCAGTGACACCCCAGGTGTTTCTAGGTGAAACTCTAACCACATGCACTGCATTTCATCAGCTTTGGGCAACAGCACGTGCCGAAATTAGGGCAACCACCAAACTAGCAAAGCAGGGACTGTGAGCAAATAAACAATTCAGACTATTAAAATGCAACAGTAAATAAAAAAAGCACAAAGTGAAAGGAGGAGCAGCCACTCCTCCTCAACCTGAATTCTCCCTTCTGAGTGAACACAACTAACAACTGACCAGGACCAGCTCTTAAGATGTGCAATGCCTGCTGTGCCTTGGGCAACTTTATTTTCAAGTCAGACTGCTATTTTTCACTATGAAAAATCAACTCAAAAAAGTTAAGTCAACTTTTACTTTTTTTTATTACTCATTTCACAAATCTCTTACTAAGCATTTTTTCCCACAGGCATCCAGTTATTTATTGAACATCCTCTACTTGGTTTAAAAAAAAAAAAAGGAGTACTAATTACTTTTAGCTATGGCCTAATTCAGCAAGAGCAACACACTCTCTCTTACATACTGTACCCAGATTAACCCCAGATGTCACTGTAATACATGGGTTAAACTTAGCTCTCTTAAACTGTTATAATTCCAGAGTAAGGTCATGGAACAGGAGTTATTCTAAACTCCCTCTAGTGACAAAACAGAATATTTGTTACTTTTGTATCTTCTGTCAGTCTATGCCATTAATTACATTCTGCCTGCACTAACAAGGTATCTGGAGTAAGCCCCAAAATGCTAGTGCAAGCAATAAGCCACCATTGCTGATGTAAAGTGAAATATTTAATGCTTGCAAGCTGTATTAATTTCTTTCTCCCATACTGCCCTCTGTTCCTAATATTTCTCCACCCCATATTGTTACAGTAACTTTACTACTCTAAGCTCACCTCACTTATTTCTCATATTAGAACAACAGTTTTACATAGCACAAGCCTGCTCAAGTAGTAAAATTCTTCTTTATAAAAACTAGCCTTTGTACTGGTTTACCCAATATTCAAGTGAAAATATCTTCCTTTAATTCAGTATAACATTAAACTCAGTGCACTTTATTATTCAAATTTGATGCTGTGTTGGTACTTGCAGTGCTCCATACACATCACTTTAGTACTGAAGTAGCACAGTGATGAACTAGATACATGAACTTTAAATTTGATTCTTGCTTTGACTGTATTATTTTCTGTTGGTTTTTTTTCCCCCCTCATTTGGTTAATGGTTTTTTTTCCCCCCTCATTTGGTTAATTTGGTTTTTTTCCCCCCTCATTTTTACTCTTGCCTGTGACATTTCCTGAGACTAAGGAAAGATCACATAACATTCTTTTCTGTCGATTCTAAAACATAATGTGCAAAGTGCTTCACAGGCAGTAAAAAGCACTTTTCATTTCCTAAAGGAAGCCTCTGAGAAGTCTTTCTCTGATCAAATTTCTAGGTTGCACACCTTTGCCCGCTTGCACTTTTTGTATTTTTTTTTTATGTCTAGACAGAATGAGACAGCTTTCAGTCATTCTTACTTTGCTACCAGCCACCAGGTATTTGAGTTTTATCTTTTTAACATATGCTTCAAGTTTAGTAATTTTGGTAGCTTGGCTGGTTTAAATTTAGTATTTTTCACTCATACTTAATAATTATTCTACTACTGGGTAATTATCTTCATAAACACTCAGACCATGATGTGCTGTATAAATCCTTCACCTACTCAGCTGTGGTAGCAAATTTCTCGAGGCTTAGCCTACTAAGTATTTGGACAGGAAGCACAAAGAGTCATGGTGCCATTGGAAATACTTGTGGTTGATTGACTTGCACAAGGGATGCATTTGTTATAAAAGAAGGCATTAAGCAGCTGAAGATACAGTACCTTTAATGATCACACACAAAAGAAAATGACAAGAATGTAAACTTTTGTTGCAGTTGTGATCAGATTTCAGCATGGGGAATTGCACTCTACTTAACCAAGTTCTCTTGTTACTGGAGCAGGCAGCCTGCCAGCCTGTGCTCCTCCAGTGTCAGCTGCTGGTTGTGATGTTCCACACCAAATTTAGCAGACTTTCCTCAAAAAACATTTCCCTTTGTTTATAATTCAGCAAAGGCCCTTGGGGTTTGCTGGGCTCAGGTAATGTAGAGTAATCTTGTATTTTGCCAGTAATTCTGGAGAATTCCAGCCACACATTTAGAATTCAGCAGTGTATCAAGTAGCAATTCTAAGGGTTGCAGCATACAATACCTGTTCTGCAAAGAACTGGAAACCCTTATCTTCACGGATACATTCATAGGTTTCTCCAAGCACAGGATTAAATGGCTTACTTCCAGCTCGGTAGTAACTGGATGCATAGGCAGAGACTGCAAAGGCAGCTATGTACACCTGGGAAGTATATTTTTGGGACTTAGGTTAATTAATTTACAACAGACACAAAACAAATAAAAGCAAGCTTTATCCTGATTCTGTATTTTCCCCTTCATTTGCAGGCTACGGACATGCATGCCTCCTGCAAGCTAAGCCCTAGTTCACACATTAGAGGATTATTCAATTTTCAGAGTCATTCAATAGGTCAGGGATAGAATGTCTAGGGTCAGATACTGCAAATTTCATCAACTGAAAAGTGTTTGAAACAGTTTAGCATTCTGCAACACAGTTCAAAGTAGTAACCTTAAAGTCACTGTTAAATTTAGTATAATAACTGGTTTTTATAGTTACATCTGTGACTAATAAAAGTACCAACTATTCTTTTCATAAACATGGCACAGGAAGTATTGGATGATTTTTCACCAGCTTTGCTATTTCTAATGCTGTTTGACTTAAATTGCTTTTTATCTACTGGGTGCTATTACCTAATCATGAAACTGTTGATCATGACTGACACACAGGTAGCCCTTCCAAATTTCTGCTGTCAACTCAAGCATAACATGAGAAATTAGAATTCACAGTTGTTTGATTCAAGTCCTCTTTGTAATACTTTTTTTCCTCTTTTCATTCCCTTTTCCTCATCTTGTGAAAGTGTAGATACTCTCTTTTCACAGTTTCAGAAAACAAATCCACTGAGGATATGCTCTTTTGTGAACTATTGCAGTTACTATGCAACAGCTAGCACTAAATTTTGCTTGAGGAGTTTCTCAAAGGCAAAGAATACACCAGTCTGAGGTAATAATTTCCAGATACTTGGGCGTGGGGAGGAGGGAAAAGGCTTCTTTTCCCTCCCTTTTGAACAACTACTGCTCATTCCCTTTTCCTTTTAGCATATGTTCTCAAGAGAACACAAAATGCTACGGACTCAAACCCCCAGTGAATGACCACACCCTGTGAACTAAATTGTAACCCTTGAAAGTATCAGAATGAGGAAAGAGACTTTTCAAGTAGTATTTCAACATGATTACCTACTCTCATTAATAACGTCATTTTGAGATAAGATACATTCAGTTGAAAAGGCTTAATTCAGTTTGTGGGAAAATCTCTATCTCTCATTTAAGAGAATTTAGGGAGCTTCTAATCCTTTATTTATGGGCTTGCATATTAAGTAGCTCTTGTACACCTGGAAGCAGAGCAACAAATGCATTTCTCTCTTGTTGTTTTGCCAAATGCAGAATTCAGGGTTCTGCACTGGAAGGGGATGACATCATTATTGTACCCAACATACGGCATACAGCCTGATTTTGAGATCTTGAACATTTTGGATAAACACAAAAGCTTCAGAAAACCAGTTAACAAAAACAATGGAGCTCATTTAGTAATATAAAGATGTCACAGTCATGTAGGCTGGAAGATCCAGCATCTCTATGAAGAAATGTGTTACCACATCAGACACCCTTGAAAAAGATCTATTGTAGCTTTCATCTTTGAGAGGGAACTAAGTTCAATCCCACCCTCTCTTTTTGTTGTAATTTTTAATATTAGAGAGCAAGAGCTGCAAAACAGAACTAAGCTCCTTTCTTGTTTAAACTTGCAGTACAGCAAGGTACTTGAGGAGAGAGAGACTTTCTGAAAAAGCAACAGAAATGGAACAGCATAGTCAAAAATAGTGGCTGTGTGAGTATGTACAGACATTTGGAGAGTTTGCCTCTCAGCTGAGAGAAACAAAACAACGGACTAGAACATCTTCACTTCTTCAGTACTGCTTTTATGTTAATTCTCACTCTGTGAGTGCTCCTGAGAGTTTGCAATCAGGAGTTTACCATGCGCTCGAAGGGGTTTGGCGTGTGCGCCGCTGTATCCAGGAGCTCGCTGTACTCCAGCTCCTCACAGAGGCGCTGCAGTGTGTTCAGGGGCTCATTCAACTCTACAGGCATGGCCACCTTGGAGAGATCCTTCCCTATGTTATTCCTCAGGATATTCCACAGGCTGATGTTACTGGTGTTAGGGCATGGAGCTGGTAAACACGTTCTCCGTTTAGAATTGCATCCGATTCCGCTTTCAGAAATACAATCTGAAAAGGAAGGAAGTGGCAGAACAATTAAATTCACATTTTCTTAGTTTCATCCCCCTCTGCAAACATACATTAAAATGCAACCATCTTTCCTTCTGTCAAAACTTCCTTCCACCCACGAATCATTTAAGTATTTCACTTGTGGTTGAAGATAGCCTGTTATAAAAATGACAAAATTAAGAATCACATTTTATGTGCATTAGCGGAAGCAAAATGCCAAGTACAAGAGATGCATAAAAATGACCTTCTTTTCCCTTAAAGTCTGCAAAAAAAGGCTCAGACTTTCCACTGCATTTGAAAGAGTAAATATTATAACCATTTTATTTGTAACGGAGATGGATTCCTATCTGTTTAGGGGATATAAAACCTCCTTCCTTGACAGAGCTTCAATTAAGTTGACACTTCTCAGAAGGCAAGATGTAACTTACAGATGCAAGGATAATAACTACTCCTACTGATCTCTTCCTACTTCTTTGCATACTCCTACCAGGAAAATTTCCTGTACCATGAATTTACATTCAGGCTTTTCCACATTGCTCCCCATAGCATTTAAACTTAGCGATGTTACTTTGAGATATACCCCCCATATATTGATGGAGAACTGATGTGTTGTAAGGATGCAAAAGCTGAAGCAACTGTAGAGCTATGGGTTTGTTGAAGATTAAAAAAAAAAGGACTCAAGTCAAGAGTCCTTGACATGAATATCTGAACTCTGTGTTCCTATATCAAAGCAGTCAGAGCAGGATAAATAGCTCCAAGTGTGCCATGATAGGATTTGTAGCAAAATCCAAATAGAGCTACAAGCTTCCACAACAGGCACTAGTCTGAAGTGATTATATTGCTTAGCTGTACATCACTTTTGTTTCAGAGTGTGTTTGCCGCTACAAGAACATATTTTATCTTTCCACATCCCCAGGAGCACCTAGGGAGCTCCTGCCTTAGGATCAGTTACTATTTGGAGACACCCAGGCATAGCCTCAGTCTGTCAAGCCCTGTCCTTTTCTGGCTTTCCTCACACAGCTCTGTCTTGAAGGAATTAAACCCGCACTGGGCTGCACATCTCCTTCTGAGCTACACATGCCTGGAGAATCCCTGCCCTTAAATGCACTTAACCAGTACTTCCTCTTCTCTGCCACTGACATAAGCAGGGTATCAGCAGTGCTTACAGCAGGGACAGCTGACCACAAGGACAAACTTCTCCATGCCTGCCATGCCTCCCAGCCCCTGCCTCACGTGGAACATTTAAAGGGTAATCAGTAGCATCAGAGTTTTGAGGAAGGAGTTTCCATCTTTCTTACCACTGGCAAACTCCAGTTCCTAATACCTCACATGACTGAGTTACTCTAACAAGGTCAGGTGAACCATTTGCAGCTCCTTGCCTCTATCTTTCTTTTTGCTTAAAAAATGGCATGGGCACTATGGGTCCAAAAACCTACCTGAAACAATTATACTGTTGAGAGTTAAGGAGCTCACTTCTATACTTCCCTATTGGAAGAATTTATTTCATATCAGAAGAGGCCAAAAAGAAGGATGTTCCCTTAGATACCTCAGGAATGAGGTAAATGCTAAAAACTTATCCTTGTTTAAAAGAGCTCCCAGAAATGGGATTTGGCTATGTCTTTTCACAGCTTCTGATTAAAAACAGGATACCAATTGGCTCATTTACGTATTCTGGACCAGTCCATTAATTGAGGTAAGCTGCTGAAAAAACAGAGTGGAGCAAGAACTTCAGTATTCAGATAACAAATTTTCTAAGCAGTGAAGTTTGCCTAGTCTCCATCACAGAAAGGCCCAGGCAGTTCTGGTTTGTAGGAGCTGTGACAGACAGCATGAATGCCAAAGGAGGTTTAGACATCTGACCTCCAGTGGGAGTCAATGACTTCTGAGGCCAAACTGCACCATTATCAACATCTGATCTGACCTTCTGCATTACAGTGTCCAGAGGATTTTGTCATAATCTCACAATTTATGATGCAGCTAAAGCCCTGTAGAAAAACGACATCCAGTTTTCTATTATTGGCAGTGGCAGGCTGCCCAAAGCACAGAAATAGCAGGTACCAGAAGCATGCAGAGGTGCTTCTTATACTGAAGAGCTTCAGTGACAGCCTTTGCTAGAAAAAGACGAACTGCCACATTAATACAGCTTTCTAAGGTCCAGATCATGAGATAAATTCTTTTGTATTTTTTCCTATTTTAAAGGAAAAATTTGAAATTTCTTCATTTTGATTTTTTGACCAGTTACAGAATACATATCAAACTACCCAAGTTATTAGGAATCTGCTGGTTCTTGGAGATGATCAGGAAACAGCTGCTAGTGAGAAATCACTGTTCAGCATTTTTGAAAATAAAAATATATTGTTAGACTGGAAAGAACATTGTGGTTAGCTGAAATGAGTTGAAGGCACAAAGCCAAGTAGGTTGTAATGACCAATTCTTCTCCTTTTTTTGAGTCTCTTTCCATTAGGAGGAAATATAAGCATAGGTATTGTCAAGTACTTATGCTTGTACCTTTCTTGCTTGTATTACTTGAGACTATCATGAGTAATACAAGCAAGAGAGAAATTCTTATGGTCATGCACCAGAGCTGCCAGTGTTCCTTTAAACACTGAGTTCTTCTAAAACAACAGGACTTCTGAATGCAGTTGCTAAATTGCAGACTGAAAAAACAGTGTGACAAGGAAAAATAACTTTTTTGAAAAAATGAAAGCAGCTGGTCCTTACTACTTTGAAAAAATCCTGTGGCCATGAGAAACTGAGAGAGAGTGGGAGTCACTCAAAGCAGCCAAGGAAAGAGGTGTTTCCCTGCTGATACAGAACCACCATCCTGCTTAATCAACAGTGCCCAGATAGGCAGATTAGCTGGAATCTGCTGTTCCAAACCAATCTCAGTCTATATGAGAAAAAACACAGACTTTTTACATCTCAAAACCCATAATATCAAATTATCTAGTAAGAGAAGAAAAAAATATCCAAAACAAGCAGAAACAAAATTCTCAAAACATGGCATAAATACCTCACTGAACTTACCTAAAGTTTGTCTTTCATTCTCCATGTCATTGCTTAGGTTATCTTCTGAGGCATTATCACTGATATCACTTACATATGAGTCATCATCTGATACCTGAGTGTGGGGTGGGGAAAAAAGCAAGATACATCACTCATTAAAATAATCCCGAATGCACGTGGACATTATTACTTTCAGCTGCAATTACTGTTTTAATATAATTGAACTGTCCAAGCTGTATTTCAATGCTATAGAAAAGTACTACGAAGTCCTATGATGTTCTCAGAGTGGAGTCCTTGCTCCACTCTGTTTAGAGTTTGGGAGAGATTGCTATAATTGAAATTTTAACTTGAGTGTAGACATGCTTCCTCTCCTTGGCTTCACTACCAAGAAGGTTTTCCTCATATCAAAACTCAAGGTTTTTATGGAACTCAAGAGAGGAAACAAAGATCTAATAAATTTCAATATGCCTGACATCGGCTTCAAGGCATCTACAGGTACCACAAGGACAGGTATGAACAAGTATTTTTGTGGTGCAAAAATACAAGTTCCCTGGGCACCTGTATAATGGACTCAAGGCAGCCTACAATGTCTGCAGTATCTGCATACTAACTCCTTAATTGCCATCTCCCTCACTGTGTATGTAAGACTTCTTCATAATACTTGCTACCCTTTACAGTGAAGAGACAATGACAACAAATATATACAAATGACTTATTAATTTCTAAAAGTTTTGAAAATTTAAATTTTCTGGCAGTCTTCTGGTGTACAGTTAGTGCTCAGAAAGATTGCCAGTCAATAAGCAGATAAGAAAATACATCTGAATGATGTCAATCTCCTTGCTCAGACCTCATTTTCTGAAGAACTAGCAGACAGCAGGACTTCCTGTGCATCAAAGAATTCTGTGAGAGAGTCAGCAATAGACAGTCTGCTTTCATTGGACACCTGGTGAACCAGACCTCTGCCTTCCTCTCTTGAATTTTCCTGTTTAAAAGGAAAAAAGTTTTGAGCAGGGAAGTAGCACAAACAACACTGATGCATGCAATTCCACAGTCTCCTAACCTGAAGGGCTGTAAAACACTGGGAGAAGATTGCACATGCTCCTCTTCAATTTATGTGAAAGATAGCATGTGTTTCAAAGTGGGATTTAAAACCAAAGTAAAACAGACCAAAGAGAAGGAAAAAGAAGGAAAAGAAAGCAATGCATATTGAGTAAATCACCTACGGTGCTGTATATAAAAATGCGTTGCTATTTGAATTATTTAACCAGATATATCCAGTTTAACCAGATATATCATCAAAAAGCCCACAAAAGAACAAAAGTCCCATCTCTTTATATTACACCCTAGATTCACATTCCTTCCTGATCTTAGCAAATTAATTAATCTTTTCCTGCTCAAGCCGTACTCAATGCAAAGCCTGCCATAGAATAGTCTACAAAACTCAGAGGGGTAAAGTTGCTTGTTTATAATAGTATGTTTTCCTAGCTCTTTTTATTCTCTAATTTTCTATGCTGTGCTTTGGAAATCGCTCCTTCATATCCACACCTGAGGTATCTCCACGTTACCCAAAACCAACAGATTATTAAAGCCACGTAACCGGAATTGCTTCTGCTGCTGGAGGCACATTTGACTGGCACAGAGATCCTGACAGCCCCTCCCATGGGAGCACTGCGGATCATTGGTGTAAGCGGAGCTCCAGTAGGTGGCCTGGCAAAGGTGGGGTGACCAGTGAGACCTGTCGTTCTGTAGAGAAGTTTGTGTGCTACTGTTTTCCCTGATAACTCCACCAACGCAAAGGGAATGAGCTATGCTGGCCCAAATGAGTGTATTAGCTGCTCTCAAGATTTTCTGCATGGGGTGCTTTACTAGCTTATAACCATGACTTCCACATCATAATTTTGCAGGAATTGTAGTATTTTATTTTCAGAACAACATAATGAACAACCTGACAAGCCCAGAATCGAGCTGACAAACCTTCTTTCAAAGCTTTTCTGTTGGTAGGCTGTGCTGTGGTATGGAATGTTATTTGGTACACACTGATAATGGTGACATGGAAACAAAACAAACTGCTATAAAAAATACTTGAAAAATCCCTCCTTTTACACAGGGATAAAAGAGAACCTCAACATTGTTCCTCCTGGAGGAAGGCAGTTATACTAGCCTACAAGTGAAAAAAAAAAAACAGCCTTACACACATAAGCATTGCTACTGGGATTATTTCCAATACTATTTTGAATCTGAGAAGGAAAGCAAGCAGGAAAGACTCATAAAAGAGCATCAGGTTTATATATCTAACACATGAGCTTCAGTTTTTCTTGTTCCATATTCCCACTTCGGCATGATGAACTACAGTTGAGTTACCCAATAGACAAACAAAAGTTTTCCATTATGCAAAGGCTTGAGATGCTATTTTATACTGCTTCAATTTTCACAGGTGGATCACAGCACCCAATGTATCATTTAGTGACAAGTTTTGTGCAGTGGCCCTGTCTTCCTCAAAGCAGCACTACTGTATCACAGTCCTCACACAGTCTTAAAATGAAGCTTCTCCAGTATAAGTGATTTCATCCTCAAGTTCCAGCCCAAGCCACGCCAGAGGGAATTTGTGAATGCAACCTCCAAAGGACCTTCTGAAAGCTATTTTTGTCATGTGTGTCTCTTTGTGTGTGTATAGCACATAGCACAAGATTTAAAAATAACCCATTGTCATTGCAAGGACCTCCACTGAAAAAGAAAATAACTCCTGAAACGAAGTAACAACGCATTAATGCTTTTCTGGATAGCAGTGTAAGGGCTATTCAAATTCTTGTGGGTTTTAAAGCAAAAGGCATCAGAATGATCAACTACCTAAGGAAAAACCCAAAACTGAACAGCTAAATATGACCAAAACACAGCTCCACTACACCAGAACTGAACCAGAAGCGAACAGATGGAATCTGTTCTGGAATGACTAAACTGTCCTTAAAAATAAAAGGAAATAATTAGTTATGTAAAAGCCCCAGCACTACATGCACTCAAGTTCTAATGAAAGATTTATACTACAAGTACAGCAGAGGTTCCTGTATGAGTTAACATTTAGGAAAATCCATCAGAAATAACACAGTTCTGGCTTCCCTCACTAACACCATTAACACCCACATCTTATGACCTATAATTACACCATTTTCACATGCATTCTGCAGCGAGCCAAAAAACTGTCTGAACATCAGTGGAATCTCAAACCAGCTAACTGGATGTAGAAGAGTCCCTGGCTTCACACAAAGACAACTAAATGGCTGAAAGGGCTCTTTTAGGTCCCATTAACTCTGATCCTTTAATGGAAATGTCTGAAAATCGTTCTAAACCTTACATGATCCACACTGGTAGCCAACATTCTGGACTAACAGCCCTTGGATGGGTGACAGAAGATCTACATAACTTAACAAAGGATTAAAAGGGCAAGAGAAACAGTGGCAGAGGGTGACAGGTGGCAGCTCTGTACATGCTGAATGAGAAGCAGGCGAGGGAGAACACCAGGAACCAGCAGCAGAAAGCAATGGAAGATGTGCTCAGGAAACCTGCTCACAAGGCAAGTCTTTGAAACCAAACACCACACAATGCATCACCAGAGATGACTCACAGCCAGGAAAGCAGACTGGCTTTGCTAACACACCACACCACGGGGACACACAGAGAACAGACAAGAGGCAGCTATGCAGCACTGTCTAGGTGTAGGGGCTGGAGGAACAGGACATCACTGAAAGAGGAAATCCATACCCACCTTCACCAAATCTGGGCTTGATTTTGCATTAGATGCTGAATCAATGATCTTAGATTCGGCATGTATTCTGCGTAACCGGTCTTTAAGATCTGTGTTTTGTGCTATTGCCTGGAACATTTAACAAAAATATTGGGGATATAAAGTTCTCTCAACTAACTCAAATGGGGCTTTATTGTATAGAAAGGGGCAAAGACTATTTAAAGTGTAATATAAAACACCACCACATCCTTTTTTTACTGGTTCAGCAAATCCTTTATTATAAATGCTTCAAACCTTACTCCTTATCTGTCAAATTAAAACTGTTTTTTCTAGTGTGAGGAAACAGAGACATCAGTGGAGAAAAAAAGTCAAAGATGGCAGGGATATTTTTCTTTACACCTCCTTTCCTTCACTCCTATCTCCAACATAGCCTCACTCAATGTTATTTCTTGCCACATCCAAAACCATTTGATTTTCCCATATTGGTAGTTTCCTTTGCCTTTCAATGACAGATAAACAAGACATAAATTCACACAGGTAACAGGTACAACTCGTGTCCTATCAGATTATAATGGCAATAGTCAGAATAAAAAGCCTCTACTGCAGACTCATGTTTGTTACATGCTATTTACTTATTCTGGGTGCATCTGATAGACAGATGTCAATTAGAGTACACTTGTAGGAAGAGAGCCTAACTCTGCAATGAAAATGTCTCTAAAATAAAAGACTGTATTATTAATTTTGGGACAGTATTGAAGACTTAAATCCCATTTTAGTGATCTGAATCAATAGCAGGATGTGGAGAACCCTGCTGTTTACACATCCACTTTATCCCACAAATGCTTCTGCTCCTGGCAGTAATATGTGTTGGAAATTATCTTGGGTGCAGGAAAGCCGGAAAGCTCAATGTGATGATGGAGGGGAGAAAACTTATTTCTGGCTTTAGCTATATGTGGTCTGAATTTGCCATAAAGGTTTATATATCCCTACTGTGTCAAATGCCCAGCACTGTGTTAAATCCTCATCAGGCAAGTGCAAAATAGCTCTCCTGTAATGACAACTTTCCATTTTCATTATTTGCTACAAAATGTTTTCTTCTTTCTGCTGGCTACTTCCTCCCCCCCCCCAAACCAGAAACATTGTATTTTTTCCCATTCTGTATTTCCTTTTCTTAGAATGTGTGTAGGTCAAGGCTACAATCTTAATGAGGGGACGCAGAGGCAGATGTGCTAGTTTTGGGTGGTTTATTCACTTTAAAGCTGCTCATTTTTCTTCCACTGCCAGGCTGATGGAAGCAAAACAGACTTTACAGATCTGCAGATTAAAAAGAGCCCTCATAGGTGATTACCCTGCTGAAACAGCCAAGGTTCACAGATGACTTCTGGATGGGCTACAAGACTGATCAAGCATCAGATAAAACTTAACAGAATTGTTTTTTAGACATGTACAGGATGAAGATGGACAACCACATTTCACTGCCCAGAAAACAAAATAATTCATGCTAAGCTGAGTGTTCACTAAGTTCAGCAATTTTAAAAGTGGTTTTCTGATACAAAATGGTAAACAAGTAACACTGAAAAAATAAAAGTCACCTATTCAAATATCATAAGTGGAAAATATGAAAGCCAAAAACAAAAGAAGTGCAAGTGAATGAGTTGTTACACAACTTCAACTTTCTCTAAACACTGTGGAGACATCACAGCCTCTGTGATGTCCAGGCAAAGAGGCATGTCATACTCTTAAAAACTGTGATCACATGCAGCTTTTGTAAAGCAAAGGGAAGTTTTCATACTGAAATAATTCTAGAAAGAATCTACATCACACTGATCAGTGCCAGAGAGTCTTCCCTGCCCCTGATGTGGTGTTTGTAATAAACTCTGAAATTTCAAGACCCTGGTAATGATTGCCCTCATTGCCCTGGAATCAGATCAGTCTGGTTGTCATTTTTAAGCATGACCAAACTGAAAAGTTCTGATCTCTACCAATCTCTACCAAACATAAAGCACACCAACCAGACCCCTACCTTTTTAAAGAGCACAATCTTTGGTCATTTAGAACTCTGCCCTAATAGCTCCATTGCTGCTTTTAGAGGAGTGAGAGATAATTGAGGCTGGAAGTCAATATAGCAAGTTGTACTTGAATTTGCTTTGCAGTGTCTCGGTGAAGCTCTAGCGCATTAGAAGGGACAGCTGAGTGCATTCAGCCACTCTCATCTTTGTTTTATGCCAAGTCATATACAGAATATTTGAGTGCTGTTTAGGTAAAGAAAAGGAAAAGGAAACCTGCAGCCCATCAGAAGTGAGTAGTAGCATGTTCAGAAAGAAAGCAGACTCATAGTCACAGAGCAGCCCTCTGATTCTCCATCTCAAATTATATAATTAGACTACATACCTAAATCAACCCATCTATCAAACTCCAATGATTTGACAATACCTTTAACATTTAGCAAAGTCTCTGAAAAATGTGATATAGAATAACTTACTATGATTAAATTCTGCAAATTTTAGCACACAGCTGACACTAAAGAAACAGAAATTAACTACTCTAAAATTTAAAAGTAGTATCTGATGACAATGAAGCTTGGTGAGCTTCAGCATGTCACTTACAGATGTTAAGGCATTCTTCAAGCCCACTATTTGTGCAGATGGAGATGAGGATGCATCGTACTCCAGCATCTGCTTCAGCTTTTCTCTCTCTGTAGATATGGTGCTGAAAGCTGACCTCAAGGTGAAGTAAACTAGAAGCATTTCATAGAAAGGGACAGTTAAAAACAATAGCAGCCAATTGTATACACACCAAGTACATAAAACTCCAATAAAGCATCATTTATGGTGACAGAAGCAAGAATTTAGGTCGAGAGATCCAGAGTGGGTTACTAAAACCAAGTAATATTAATCAAGGCTATAGGGCAGATTTTTTGTAGGAGACATGTTTATGGTGAAGGCTACTGTGTTGACTATATTAGCCACAGCCAAAATTACTCTGATTCTTTGTGACAGATGGCAACAAAGCTAACTAACCACATCTGCTCTTCACTTGCTTTTGTTTCCCAATTAGCTTGAATCTTCAGATGGTCATGACTCTATTCCATATTCCTCTATAAATTTCAGTGGGGGGAAGAAGAAGAGACAAAAGGAAAAAAAAATCAAATAGGGAAAAAAAAAGGCAGTTCTAACACATATTGTGCAACAGCTATAGGGTTAGTAGTTTCCCCACAAGCAAGTCAACTGTGGTATTATGTTTTGTTATCTTTTTCTGTGATAGAGAAATTTCAGCTTGTTAGATGATTTAGTGACTCAAAGGGTCAGATCCTGAATGATGTGCATGCTGTGCTGCTACTTCTGCTCCTTCCTGAGGCACTATCACCAGCCCAATACATTTAAATCAGACAACAGATCATGCAATTTTAACATCACTACAGGGAGGTTTATAGGGAAAATGCACTTTTAGAATTTTTTTCACCACTACGACATTGCATCTTCTCTTTAACCACAGGGAATAAAAATTTATTTGAGCAGTACTTGTCGGTGTAGGTTTTCAACACTCATCTGACTGGAGCATTAGAGGACTTCTGAGGACCTAATCAAGCCCTGTAATACAGCCATGAGACTTGCCAATGCAAAAATGAATCCATTTACAGGGAAATAAAAATGATAGAAAACCTGAGCATGGACGCATGAGAAGGGCAAACAAGAAATTCCTAATACTTCTGTCTCCTAATCATCCACTCTGAGTTAACCTGAATCTTCATCATTTCACTGAGTAAGTTATGTGACCCAGTTTGGTTTTCTGAAAAATTATTCTGAAGGTATATTCCAATACTGCAAACCATTACCAAAGCTATTCTTATACTATCCAAATAAATCTTTAACAGTATCATAGGGTGGGGAAGGAAATATGTCCACTGTGATCTATTCTGTTAGGCTTTCTTTTATATATAGATAACATGACCAGAATCTTCAGTGACCTTCAAGGGCATTTCATATTTTGTATAGTAACTTTACTTTTCAAGAATTTCTGCCTACTAAATGACTAGTGTTACATTTTATGCAATTTGTATCAAAAAAGTGACACAAGAGGTTTCTCCACTACTTTTTCTTGGAACAGGGGTGCTATGAAGTAACTTCAGAGAAAAATTCTTTATCCTCATTATCCTCTTAGCAAAATGATTCTGCAGTCATTACAACAAAGTTAATTGTCCCTTCAAATGTGTGGATCAATCTAACCAAAATTTCTGTCATGGGCAATTCCAGTAAGATGATTTTGAGTAGGTGATTTCTTTGCTCTGCTTAACAGCAGCTTTTCCCACTGCATCCCACCCTCACTTCTTCTCTTCTTCAGGAAAACATACGTCAGTTTTGACTGTAATTGGCTTTATGAAGTTTACTACTTGCATACATTCCTTACATAACAGAATCAAGATACATCAGCACCAAAGGGGAGCAGCAAGCAAAGAATGCTTATTGATACCATCAACCATTATCTGTGCCAAAGGGGACAAAGCCAATTCTCCCAAAAGCCTTTCAGCTATAAATTTAAGTGCCTCCCTCACCAAGATCACTTAAACAATAAAAATGTTTCTGCTGCGAGGGTGATGGAACAAAGCATTGCTAAATGAAAAATGATTTTGAGGGAAGAAATATTTCTAGTCAAGCTCCCCCTCTGGCTGCTTTGCATGATTTACTCTCCTGTATTCACTAAAAATAGGTTACTACCATAGCAACCCTTGCATCACCAACAAATGTTGACTCTGAACCACAGTGAAGCACACAGAATATAGAAACATAAATGTGCCCATATGCACAAATATGCGTGCAAGCACAAGAGAGTAAAGTCTGCTGTATGTATTTCTAGCAGCTGATTTTAGGTAATTTACCTTTTGGCAACAAATAAAACAATTTAGGCTTTCAGCACATAAAACAAGAGGTAGTTTTCTATTAAATAAAAACTGTAAAAAGTGGGAATTAAGCCACCTTTTTCAAACTACTCAAGATCTCAACACTTGCAATTCCTCAAGGAAATTAAAGGAAGGGTGTTCTCTAAACAATAAACTGGAAGCATTCTCAGAAGTCATATCATTATCTAAACTGGGATGATATAAAACCATTTATAAAAGACAGTTTCATTTACCTTTATGTGCAACGTGAAATAAGTCCTCTTGCATTTTAGTAAATTCTGATGATGTTTCAGAGCCATCAGAGTAATTTTTCTCCTCTACAAAATCTATTGTAGATAAGTTTGGATTGGAAGCATGCAGTCTCATAGGGGCAGAAAATACTGAAGGCACCTGTAAGTAGGATAGCAATTTGTGATGTTTTTATAAACAAAAGAAAATCTTGTTTTATTGTACCCACTTGGATTCCATGTTGGAGACACCAAAAATAAAAAAATTACTGTCAATTATCAATTGAAACTTTGAATGGATGACACCTGGCAAATGAAACCAGACATATAACTTCGCCCAAGGTGCCATAATGGGAGATTGCCAAACTCAAAAAAACAAGCCCATTGAGAGCTGTTACATGTGCTAGGTTATTTCCCCCCCTTATAAGTATCTAATCAGATATCTTCTGGGTGCAAATGTGCACAAAACTATCTAGGGAATTTGCAAAAATCTGTACTCTTGAAAAAAACCAAAAAACCCCAACAAATTAGAGAAGACTGACGATGGGTAAAAAACACAACCAGTGTCTGAAGGTAACAGGACAGATAGTCTATTGCAGATATCAATGACATCACATTTGTGTTTTGTCTGAGATATTACCACTTAAAATGAGCTAACACAGGACTCTATTAAAAAGGATTCATATTTCCTTAAGTGGTCATGCCAAGAAGTGATCAGTAACTAAGGTTTGGGGGAAGGTGGGCTCTGAAGGGACTGAAGTTACCTGTAACATTCCTTTAGCCTCTTTCCCAACAACTCTGGATCGCCACCTCCTGTGTGTTCTCTTTTCCTTCTTTGGGCTTTCAAAAGGTCCAACCTTTTAACAACACACAGGACAAAAGCAATAGAGACTGCCATAAATCCAATAACGCTAAGAAACACCTCAATTCTTAAGGATTTGGGGTTATTTTTTGGAATTGAAAGGGAAATTAGTTTTTGCTTTTGTTTTTAAACAACAAACCTGCATAGCATTTATAGCAGGCGCTGAATATGTCCTGTGAAGAACATCCATGCTCTGTAACAGCTGGTTCATTTCCAGTAAATATGTGTGACAGTTGGAGAGGTCTGTTTGGAACAAGAGAATGTTTTCAGTTGCCCTAAAGTAACAGACACACTGACAATTTTCTTTCTTTGGAGGTTAATCCTATTTTAATTGCAGCTAGCTTAAGTTATTCATTGACTAAAAGCATTAGACTGCTGGATAAAATCATTGTATCCTATAGTCAAGTTTAAATTCAAAATATTGAAATGCATCTGTGTGGTGTGTATAATGATTATGATATCTTCTCCTAGCTGCATGCAGAAAAATGAGAATAATGTGGTAATTTCTGCAGTTTGAGATTTGTCAGAGCTCCTCATGGTGAGGGTAACAATGCCACAGGCATCAACACTGAATTGTACATTCAGACCTAGAGGTGAGGCTCCTCTGCATTAGAGATGAAGCTCACTGGTAGGTAGAAATTTAAAAAACAAATATCACATAGACATTGCCAACATGAGAAAGATCTTCCTGCTCTTAGTAAAGCATGAAAGCAGAAGGTGACTTTGAAGTACAAAGACTTAGTGCTTTTTAAGTTACTAGGTTTTGGATGTTCAAATCTTACTACTGAACATGATGTTCCTATATAAAAGAAAATGTACTGAAATGCTCTTAGCTTCTTGAAGAGCTGCCCACAATTGATACCCCCACTTCCAAAATTACCAGTTCTTTTGGAAAAAAAAGTGAGTAACCACTTAATCGACAACCACATCTTTCCTTCCTCCAGCTTCAGAGAAAATTCTAACAGCAATGACTACTTAGTGTATAATACTCTCATTGTTAAGGGAAAACTAGGGAAAATATTAGGCTACTTTCAATTTTCTTAAAATATAATTACCTCTTGAGCATTTTTCCATGTCTTCAGAAGACTGTAGCCAAGATGAAATCCTTGACTCATTACTCGAAAAAGAAAATGACAAATTACCTCCAGTTGATGTTGAATTCTGTTTGGTCAAGCTGCCTGCCTGTTCCAAAGAAGAACGAGTGAAGTATTAACACACAATATTTTAATGTTTTATGCACAAATTCTGACAACCAGCAGTTGAGAACCATGATCATGGACAAGGACTGAAGGCATCAATTACATGGAGGGGGAAGAAGTGTATGATCTGGACTAGGTATACAGTCATTGAGCACAATGGCATGATAACTAATGTAACTGCTGTCCACAAACAGCAGAAAAACTCAAGGAACCATGAAAATTTGCTGAAAACTAAATTTTGAGGAAGGGCAAAGTTATGCAAAAGTTAAGTCAACTCAACATAGTCTTAAGTTGCGCCAAGGGAAATATAGGTTGGTTATTAGGAAAAAGTTTTTTACTAAAAGAGAGATCAAGTACTGGAATGGTCTGCCCAGGGAGTGGGGGGAGTCACCATGTGTTTAAAAAAAGACTGGATGTGGCATTGGTGCCATGGTTTAGTTGAAGTGTTGGGGCATGGGTTGGACCCAATGATCTTGAAGGTCTCTTCCAACCTATTGATTGTGTAAAATAATTAAAGTACTATATCTGAAGAGGACCAAATTCAGACATTCTGTTCCTCCTCCACACTTCCCAAAGAAGCGCCAAAAGTAGCTAAGATGTAACACGCACATTTGTTAATGCTATTTTTCAGTGTAAAAACAAGATATCATTTAAAATTTTGACGCTAGATGTCATTTAAAATTTGACACAAGCTTGAAAGACTTCAGCTCAACAGTCCTTGATACAGGGATGGCCATACACCTTATCTGGGTAAAGACTACCCTTTGACAACACCTCAGTAAACATTTCCACACTTAGTTCAATTTCAGCTGTGCCCATCATCAGATGCTTCAAGAGGTGATGGAAATTCTGCATAAGAGCTAACTGAGGAGTATAATTATATAGCTTCCAATGGCAAGAAATTTTTACCCGTACTATTACCAGTTGAATGCAGCCTATAATGCTGTTTTCTTCTCTAACCTAACTACAAATAACAGCCATTCAAATACCTAATTATTTGTACATCTTACTAAACCTTTCATTTTCAACAAAACCCAGGTGAGAAGATGCACAAATCACATGCTTTGTCAACATCTTGTTAATAATCAGTTTTAAACTGTTTCATCCTAGTGCCTTTACACAGCCACATTACTTATGGTCATGAATAAAGCTGACTAAATTGTTTGGCTCTTCTCTGAAGCATGCAATTTACAAACTTTGTTACAACCTGCTGCTCACCTTATATCAGAAATCCAATAGTAGTAATTTTAAATCTATTAATAAGAAACTTCATCTACATCTCACTCAGCTGCACCTTCCTTAGTTGTCCTTTTTAAGTTTACAGCATAACCACCAACGTGAGTTTCAGAATAAAATAAAATGCACCATCCATGTAATGTCATTTGGTATTTTGTCAGTATGCAATAGCAGTAAGCATCAGTGAGCACACTTGTTTTTAAATTAATCAATGCAGCTTAGCTGGCTTACTCCTACATATAGCTGTCCCGGCTTTAGTCATATATTTAGACATATACATACACATATACATATATATATCCAAATAATCTCAGCATCTTTAAAAGCACAAGTAAACTGAATTTAATGATGGGCAATTATATTGGCATTTTGTGAACCAATTTCATGTTTATCTCTTCATTAATTGGCCTCACCTAACCAGTTTTTCCAGAACTCAAAAACATAAGTGAGGTGAGCATGAGGAAAGAAGGAAGTAGGGATTATGAAGAAGCAGACAAGAGAGAGCTTGTGTAGCTCCAGTTTTCATAGTTTTGCTTTGGATCAGCACAGTTAAGCTTTAGAATCCAGGAATTCCACATAAACATGTGTAGATAACTACACCTGTCTCTCAACAACAATTAAAAAATGTGGAAACCAATCAGGTGCTGCTAAAAGCAAATAAAATGCAACTCAAATTTCACTTGATATATATTTCTCAAAATAACCTAACTGCTGGAGTGATATCAACTAACACCAAGCTAAGGCTGGTGTAAATTGGCAGACTTCCATTTAGCTTGAGCACAGCTAAGGTGATTAACTGCAGCTTAAGAACTATCCCCTTCTATTTTTCACATGAAAATAAGTAGGGCTTCTTTGCAGTGCAAATCTGGATTAATAGTCTGAATTAAAGCCTTTCATGCCAAAGAAGAAATGGTTAGTTTCCTGACAGTAAGCAATAGATTTTAGATATGCTGATCACATAGGTTTCTTTGGTGTGGGTTTTTGGGTTTGGTTTTTTTTTTTTTTTTTTTTTTTGAGGGCACCAGCATAAATATACCACGGACTTTGCTATGTTCCACTTCTGCCCTTGATATTCTCCCCTGCTTCTATCCCTGCTGTCTTTCAGGAGAAAATAACTGAATGTCCACGGGAGACTTGCCCTTCCCTGGCAGGCAGTGCCTCAGGAGAGCAGGCTGTCAGGAGAGCAGGCTGTCAGAGCCCTGGAGCTGCTGCTGGCACACGAGGTGCTGCAGACAATTCTCTGCAGAGCAGCCTGGTTACCGCAGGGTGAGTTATTGCTCCTTCAGCTGCCCACTCACATTGACCCCTCCTGCTCCACCACGAGCAAAAAGCTGCTCAGACACACGTCTGTGTTTGCTACAACTCATTCTCACTCACAGGATAAGGTGAGGAACTGTGGGTATTGGAGAACAAGCCTGCTCAGATCATAAAGTAATTCCACCAGGGAAAAGCAAGCCTTGGGTAGAAGGAGAACAAGAAGGGCACTGCTGCTTAGGAGTCATTCTGGAGCTGACAGAAACAGTTACTACATCTCAGTTGTAGTAACACAGAACCATTTGGGGTTTTTTTTGGATTCTCAAAAGCAACCAGTGATTCTACACTGCAGCAGAAGAGTTGCTTTGGGTGAAGGTCAGCCAGCGCACGTACAGACAGCTCCAGGCACGGAGGCTGTGTTCAGGCACAGAACACACAGCATCTTCCATGAAACTGCAAAGAGGTCATTTATGGGTTGGACTGAGCATTTGTCAGGCCATTTGTGAAAGTAATTCACAGACTTGTGGGATCTCAGCCTCTCAGAATTGGGGTGCAGGGTGAACAAGACCACCCCTGGGGGGCTCGGGAGTCCTGGAATGTTGCCAGAAATGTCTGGTGGCTGGACTTTGATCCCACATGGGAGATGACATCAGTATGAGGACGGGAGGATTTCACTGGGGTGAATGGTGAAGGGATAAGTTAATTGGAGTGTGAGATAAAGGGTTTAAGATTTCTGTACAGGGGGGTCTAGAGAGGTAAGATGGAGGAATTGGGCCGTGCCCTTCTCCTTCTTCTTCTTCCTCTAGGCCTCCATCTTCTGTGGTGATGTTGGCACTTTGGGATTGGACCTTACTAAAGTGCACTGGTTAATAAGGGTGAAAGGTATTGGAGAAAAATGATAAATATTGTATACGTAACTCCAAGTATAAAGATAGATGACCGCCCCAAGAGCTCTCAGCGTGTGCCCATGGCTGACTGCTGAGCAGAACTCTGTCAGGCCAAGAGAAAATCTTTTAGATAAGCATTTAATAAACACCGAGACCGAGAAAAGATCTGAAGTCCCTTCTCGTCCTTTGGAGCGCGGGCGGCCCAAGGCCACCTCGGGCCTTCCCAGACCATCTAAACAGCCGAAAATCTGACACAGACTTTGCCAAAAGAGCCAAGTTGACTGGACCCATCCAGACCCCATATCCACCCACAGCCCAGCCCTTGGATTGGTCTGAGTGAAGCTTCTGCCTCAGTTAAAATATAAACAGTGGTCTTCCTGTATTATTCATTGTATGTATAATATATTAAATACATAATATCTTATATAAATTTATATAATATAAATATATAAATATAAATGTATACAATTATATATAAATATTATATTTTAGATAATATAAATATATAAATAATACAACATATGTATAATATATACTCCTTGTACATATAATTTCTTGTATAATAGTGACTTGTATAATTCCTACGTACTCCTTAGTTAAGTGGTCAGCTGCATTCATGTAAAAGGGGAGAGGGTTTATAAGCTAAAGAACACACAGCAAAATGCTAAAGGGAAAAAAAATACCTAGCTGAGTGCTCTTCTGTGACTAATAACCACCAGGACATATCAGATACAAATACTGATACATGTCCCAAAAATTATGAGGATTCTAACTCAATATACAGTTTTGAAATTCACTGTGAAAGTACAATTTACTGGATTAAAATAGTGAAAAACTACTAAAAATTTAAAAACATCATAAAGGAAACTGCTCAGGTGTAAATCAATAAATAATAAATTTTCCTCTTGACATTTTACAACGTAACTGAAGTGCCACCAACAACTTCCATGACACTTTTTATTTCATGAACACAAATTAGACTAATTTACTTCCTTATGGAAGCTCATTATTTATAAATAAAAACGATTACCTTTCTACCTGGTGCAGAGTCACAGAAACCTGGGACAGAGTCCGTGGTAGTAGACACGGGGAAGAAAATGTTGTTGGCGTCGTGAGGGAACATGGAGATCTCGTTCTGGCGGTACATCCTGTGGTGGCGAAGCTTTGCTACCCACTCATCAAACAGCTCCTGAGACTTCACCTGCACAAAATTTCAGGGTGGATGACATTCACATTCGAAATAACTAACAAAGAAATGATGGAATTTTGTGCTCATCAGACAGCTAGCCTGGCTGACCTTTACTGGCAAAGTATCAGGAAAGTTTTTTCTATGGATGCTCCTACCAAAATGCAAACTCTATGAGCTTAGGCATGACAGAAAATCAATCACAAGATAAAGTCAAGGGAAAAAGAAACTACAGTTAGTAATTATGCCTTCCAATATAGAACACAATACTAGAGCAACTTACAGATTAAAAAAACCCTTAAAATTTGAATAAAGCCCCTTGCATTTATCATTTCTTAACTGCCATAGTTAAAGCTAGGTCAGTGTTTCATTAATTACAAACAGAAATTTGATTTTCTTGATGTATTTCAAAACAATTTATTCTGCAAGTATAAATCCTCATACTTGACCACAGAAAACACGTCTTATAGATAAGACAAGGATGAAGATACTGAAAATAAAAAAAATTGTGCAAGAAATGAAAAAAGCACTGCCAAACATGAGGCATCTTCAAAGTCTCTGTTCAGAACAGGGTTACTGATTCTGGGCTCTAAAATAGTATAATAAGACCTCTCCCATTATTAAGTGCAAACTAATCTGATGAGACTAAAAAGTTAATAGTGCAATTGAGAAACCTCTTGCTATAAAAAAAAAGTGCTCCTAGCTACAGAGCTAATGGCAGTAGTTCGGGAGCAAGGTTATTACAATCTTAAAGACCTACCTTAAGGTGGTATATCTGCTCCTCTGTATCCAAATCTATACATTTTGTTGATTTCTTTACAGACATGACAGAAAGTCCAACATCAATACAGCCATGAAGTTTTCCTCTCTCTATCTGCAAAAAAGTAAAAAGTAAAACCACAATCACTCCAGATGAAAGCAAAAGGATAAATATTACCTTCTGAAATCAGCATTTCTTCCCCTCTCAACCTACTGTTTAGAGCTACTGAAAACTCTGTTTGTCATTACCAACAGTAGGGAATTTTTGTTATTTTGGATCCTTGTTACTTTATAATGGCCTTAAAGGGTTTCAGATCACTTACATCAGCTCGGCATTTAGAATACTTCAAAATCCCTCTGTCCAAAAAGAAGTATCTCTGTAACAGAAATGCAGAGAATTAAAACCAAACAAAACATACACAAAAAGAAAAAGCCTCAATCAGAAAAATAGCACAAACACATCCTCTCTGCTTCCATTTCTCTGGAGAACACTTTCTCTGCTTTTATGTAACCTTTTTGTCAGAAAACCACACCAAATAAGTCCCACTCAAGCTTTCAGATGCACATTTTCCTACCTTGTGCCAGCCTTTCAGAGGCCATTTCCTCTTTTTCAGCAAGCAGCCCTCCTGCTTCTGTGGCTCCTGGGTACAATTCATTGCTCCCCGGAGTCCTTCCACAATTTCCCAGCTGTCCTGCTTAAACAGAAAATCCAAATGTAGATGTTATTTCTTCCAAATAACTGAATTTTTAAGAGAGATTCAAGAAGAAGAAGGCTATAAGAAAAAAAGACAAAACCCAATTGACGTTGAAATATAACCAAGGTTCCATCTTGACACTTTGTTATGCATCAGCAGAGATAAGATACTTTTTAATTTTGATAGAAACAATGCCACTAAACAAAACACAATTTTTATGACATCATCCTTCATTGAATTTTATATGTATCTTTCCTTGCATACACACAGTGCATAACCATAGCATAGGCACAATTTAGCAAAAAACCTTTTGCCATCAGAGATCGAAAATACCCTCTGTTAAAAGGATAAGTTTTGTAGGTTATGAAGCAAAAAATATGACACTAAAATTGAAGATCTTTTCTCCATACTCAGTAACTCAAGGTTTTGCACTTGCAAATTGCTGTAAAATGCAGCCTTCCTAAAGTAAAAATAATAAAATAAATCAAACTAAACTAAAAACAATATAAAAAGCCAGGGAAGTACTGTGAGGAATATGACATAAATGGAAACTACAAGAAAAACAGAAGTCACCCTTCATCAGATAAAACTAATTAAAAGCGAATCGCTCTTTTTGCCACCAGGAACTCTTAAATGAAAGACCCTACAGCAACAAACCAGAAGAGTCTAAATCTCACAGTATTTTTATAGCTTTTATTTATGGAACAACTACAAATGACAATGTAACATGAGTTTCAAGGTTTCTGATGAGAGATCTCATGAATTATTTATTGCCAGGACTTGGCAGATGTAGCATTATAAATAACTGACAGGAAATGGTGTGTGCTAGTACCATCCCCTTATATTTGAAAAAGATAAAGAATACTTTAATACATAGAGCATAATAAGAGAAAAGGACTAGTATGAAGCACATTAGGGAGAAGAGAACTATTCTAGATAGGTAAGCACTCATGGTGCTCCCTGTAAGATACATAGTGAATTATTCCCAAAAAGACCTTGGCTGGCTTAAAAAAAAAAAACTTAAAAAGAAAAATGAAAAAAAATTACAAAAAAAAAAATCAGCAAATGTGCTAGCTCTCCTCATTTACACATTTTCAGAATCCTTAAAATTAATCTCTATAAACTCAGAAAAAATTACATCAGGTAATATGCTCATTACTTATGTAATAAGGCATTAAAAGCAAGTCAATTTTGAAAGAGCATCTAATAATTCCACCACACTGTTGGTGGCACTCTGATATTTCTGTTGTTTTCCTTGTGCCTCATTTAACAGACCAAACTGGTAAGCTGCTCTGCTTTCCTGCTTGCAGTTTAGCCTGCCAACACTCACCACACAATGAGCCACAAGCAGTGGGAATGTGGGGCTGGGCAGCTCCTGCCAACCAACACCCTACAGACCATCCAGTGATGTTGTACTACCTCAACACAAGTCAAAAGTGCAGTTGTCCTAACCAAAGTTTTTATGAGGGGACACATTTTGTCATATAATTCTAGTTAAGAACTAACAGCTACAGCTGTGAGATTAAGAAAAATGTTGTGTTCATGGTTTTGTTTCTTTCTTCTTGAAAGTATCCAGAAGAACTTAAAGGTGCTTTGCCCAAATACCAAGCAAGCTATTTCTCTTGTCATGCTAAAATATATTAAACTGCAGTACCCAAGCATGTAATTTTTCCACTGAGAATGAATCTGGTAGTAGTGAACAGTGGATCTTTTTCAATATTCTAGTGTTGTACCTAACCAAAGAACTTTCTCCAGTTTTGGGATCAAGTTTCCACAGTTTGGTTAAGCATAAACAGAATACATCATTGATTGAAGGAGACAAGCAGAAATTTCATCTCAGTCAAGGAAGATTTACAGTATCATAGATCATCTTGGTTTGGAAGGGACCTTACAAGATCAGCTAGTTCCAACACCCCCCTGCCATGGGCAGGGACACCTTCCTCTAAACCAGATTGCTCAGAGCCCCATCCAACCTGGCACTGAACACTTCCAGGGCTGGGACATCCACAACTTCTCTGAGCAGCCTTCAGTGGTCTCAACTTTCACAGTAAAAAATATCCTAACAGCTAATCTAAATCTCTCTTCTTTCAGCTTAAGACCAATCCCCTCTGTCCTATCACTATGTAAAAAACCCTTCTCTGTCTTTATTTGCTCCATGAAGTACTCAAAAAGGCTTCAATAAGTCACCACGGAGCCTCATCTTTCTGTAAGGATAAGCTTAGAAAGAAAGGGACTCCTGAAATGAGACAGACCCATGATACTGGATGTGTGAGGTGAAAAGAATAAGCTGAGAAATAGCTCAGTCAATTACACTCATCTGGAATAAACACAGTGTTAATAGTTCTGATCAGAATACAATGTTCTTTAGTTCTTTTTAGTACAGAATACAACGTTCCCTGCATCAAAACTCCGATTTTGCCTGGACGTCTCCTGTAGTCCAGACACAAGGTGTCTCACATCCCTGCAGGAAAGTAATCTTTATCACAGTTCTCCAGGTGAGCAATGTATCCTAGAGTGTGCCTTCTCAAATAAAAAGTGTGAAAATGGGAAGAAAATCTGAAGTGGAAGCACTGCTTCCCCTCAAGCAGGCTTGACATCCTGCCAAATCTCAGGTAGAAGGCAAGTCTGCTACTCATCTCTCTACCCTGGGAACCTCACACTTCAATTGTCAGCTGTACATAAAGGTGGCTGAGCTGAATTAGAAATGGATCCTCTTAAAATCTCACAGAATTAACAGTTTGGGGACCTGCTGGATACATGCAAGGTGGCATGATGCATTGAAAGAATCTGGTCCTCTTCCATATACATCCTTCCAGATGAATCCAACCTTTCCCACCTGAACAAACTCTCCTATTTTTCAAAAACACTGTTTCTGTGACTGGTTTTGGTTTTCCACCAGACCCTACAGATCTTAACCAGGTTTTTTGTTTTGTGAGAGATTTGACACCTCACTGAATGAGGAAAAAGCATCAGCTGGCTATTCCTGGAGCAGCTGCAGAAGTGAAAGAAAACTGCTTACTCTCTAAAATGAAGGCAAGTGAATCAGGCTGGTCAATTATCATCTCTACTCATCCCTCTGAAATGGCAGAGGAGCAAACTGGAGACAAAGGATTTCCTGAAAGCATTCAGATTATACTCCCTTTTGCTTATTCTTACCCCACAATAGGGAACTGAAAGAGATAGCCCAAAACAGGGCACTAACTTGAAAAAAAAAATGACACCCCCCCAAAAAAACCCCCCAAAACTGCCAGATGAATGGCATTAACAATTCCAGCATAAGTCTCCTGTCTAGATTGGTTGTGTTTTAAGATTATGATGCTACAAAAGATTTTTGCATCATTATCTGGGCCCAAATCTACACAAAATTATCAACACTGTATTTGCTGCCCAGGAAGGAATTTCACTTGAGGCTAAGGGAGGAACAAAATCTTTGCTTTTCTCAGGTCTAGAGATGCTCAGTTCAGATAGGCACTGAAAAGTTCCCCTGTACACATTCCTTGGTGCATACTCAGTCTATGGCTGAGGAAAAAACCCACAGACTTTGGTCTTCAGAGATAAGTACATTATTAGGTAAATGTATTCATTTTCTTTGTTTAATATAATGAAAGCCTTCTCATTTTCTGCAACATTCTGCACCACACTGCTCCTTAAGGCAAATTATTTCAGGGGAAAGTATGAAGTAATGATTCTGAATGGCTCTCAGGCTGATGCTTGCAGTTGCAGCTCCCTGAAGGAAACAGATGACAGTGCCACACTCTCTTTCAGTGCAAAATGCAGTCAGTTGTACCAAATATTTTAAACTGCCAAAAATAGAAACCTACTTTGTGGAGGATAAGGGTTGGCATCAGCTGCAACTTAGGCATTTGTTACGGTTCATAAAATTGGCAGAAATGATTTAATTTTCTTTTATGGAACAGGAGGTTTTTTAAAACAGTTCTCCTGTCACAAAGCTTTTCCCTGGTGGATATATTTTAAAAGTTAGTTAACATATTAGATTTAAAAATAACTAGAACAACATACCTTCTTTTGATCACAGGTCAATTTAAATTTAAGAAAGGTCAACACCAGTTTTCTTTCCTCACAAAACTGAATTTGAGTTGTGTCTCTGTGGAAGAGATCCCTTTCCCTAACTGAAGGAGAGGGGAACAGAAAAGCAAAGAGGTGGGAAGTGGAAGTAGCCTCCAACTTTCCACGGGGCTTCAAAGTGAAGGTGAATTTATTGGAAGAGGATTAAGTGTTCACCTGTTCAGTTCACACAGCAGTGTACCAAATCAGGCTGGAAATGGGCACCAAATGTAGCAAAGGAAGAAGTGGATACCTCAAAGTCCTGCAGCCCTGCTTAAGTCAACTCCTTTCTAGCACAGTGGCTCATTTTCTGCATCACAGGAATCCCACAAACAGCCCTCCAACTTGGAACTAAACTTTAGCAGACACAGCAGCCTGGCACTACTGTGTTTCCACATCCCAGCCTCAGGTCACCTATTTGGTTCTGGCATACACTAGCAATAAAGTCTGCATGCAGGAAATCCAAAGAGGCTCAAAATTCAGATCCTGCTAGTTTTTGGGCAAATTTCACCCTGCTCCAACTCTTCTTCCCCTCCCAATGGTCAGACCTTCTTTCTACTTAATCAGATTCAAAGAAGTACTGCATCAGAGCAGCAGCACAGAGAAAAGCACCCCTCAGGAAGATCTGTCACTAACCCACAAGCCATGAGCACAAGGGATGCCAGTGTTTGAAGAAGGAATAAGAAGCCCTCCATGGAGCTAGAATATGAAGAAAAGAATATCAAAATCATTGCATGTCACTCCCTAACCTGCACAGCACCTGGCAACATCATTTAAACTTGCAGGATACTATTAATAAAAAAGTATCAGTAACAGTGTTACATCCCACTATTCTACCAGGATTTTGAAACAAACACCAAAACAAATCCAAACAAATGAACAAAAGCTCCTGAAGGTTATTGTACATGTGGTCCTTTTTTGATTAGAGGATTCTTAACCATTTCATACAACTTTAGATGGTTGTTGTTGTCTTAATGGAACACCTAAAGTATTGTCATTTAAACTAATATACAGATGGAAAGGGCAAATAAATGGCATTATTATGGTTCCTTATATTGGCTGTACTACACACCAGTGGATTTAGTCATACTCATGTAAATCCTATCATTTAAATAGTAAATGATAACACTTGATAGACACGAACTGTTGAACAGACAATACCAAATCTTTTAAATTATACTTTCAAAGGTAATCTCATATGGAGGATATAAAAAATAGTATTGCAGGAAAACAAAAAAGACATCCTGCGAGCAAGGATCTTATTGTTCAGTATTTCAGAAATGCACAGCATTTCTCACAAGTGCAGCACTTCAAAAGTCATAAATTGTTCAGACATTTGTCTGCCTTGCCAACTGCATGAGCAGGGCCAGAAGTCCTAGAAGAGCAGCTGCTGTTTCAAAACACAGCTGAGGGCTCCAAAGCTTTTGGGGGATTGGGATGCTCAATTCCAATTAAAATATCTGCCTGAGGCAGCTTCCAAGAGCTCCACTAAGCCAGCACTTGTACAGATAAAAGTTTATGCTGAGCACTTTGCTCATGACTTTGCAAACATGGATTGAGCACATTTAATTTTAATTCTCAGTGCAGCTGCAGGTCAGCATTTCTTGCCCACAAACAAAGCCATCTTCAGCAGCCTCACCTGTCAGGTGCAAACACTTGTAGACAGGTCTTTTGAAACTGAGAGGTTTAGAAAACAGAAGCAACTTCTTAGCAGGAAACAAAGCAACCTTCACATGTGGCACGCAGAAGCATCGTGTTACACAAATGCTCATTTTGCTATCTGCAGCTCTACAGCAAAAACCAGCACAAATGGGCATTCAAAGAAGCCCTGTGTCAGGTTCATGAAAAGTGAATTATCTTTCACACATCCATGCACACCTTTCCTTGGAAACTTGAAATAAACAGAGCAGTTACACAATTTTCTACCACAAAAATAGTGTCTAAGAGAAAAGATTTGGTATTTCAGGATCAAACCACTGAGACCAAGATGCTGCAGCAGCTCTATTTCACTATAAAGACACCATACATACAATAAGATAGAAATCAAAATTCACTGTAAGCATCCCAGTTTTACACATGCCTGCTATTCAGTAATGTGTGTTTAATGCATTTGACTCAAAACAAGATGCTGCTACCAACAAAAAAAAAAAAAAGAAGAGAGAGAGAGGAAAGCAAAGAAGTGACGAAATAAAACAAGCAAGCAACAGGAAAACAAGGTTTGAGAGATTTGCAGATATCTAAGAAAAAAAGTAAGAGCCAATCTTAGCAATGCTTTCAGCTTGGTGAAAAAGTACCTGTCGACTTCCCTGCTTGGAGGAGCAGCTGCTGGTACTTCTTGAAGGAGACAACATCTTCTGGGATGCACCAAAGTTTTTTTCTTCACTCATGATCCAATTCTGTTTGTGTCACATAAGCTCACTTAGAACACCATTAAAAGGTAATTTGGAAAATGTGTTGGAAGACTCCTCAATGAAACACCAAACTCATCCTTTATCCAAATGCAGTCCAGTGGCATGATCTGTACCCCACGGAAACTCCTAAAAGGGAAAAGAAAAAAACCACAACAGATTATCAGATGCTGTCTCTTGCTGCCACATTCTAGCATGAATCATAATAAAGCCTTTGGTTAACACAAGCTGAGCACATAACTGTATTTTATAAGAAATAAATTGAACAACCACTTTAAGATAAATTTGAAAGTCTCAAAAACGAATTATATAAATTTTGAATCCTAAAAACATTTTAATTGTTGCTATTTATTTAGAGGACAAAGCACAGTACCAAGCACCTTTTTACAGATTTAAATTAATTTTTAAAATTAATAAAAACTCACAAACAAAGTCATAAATATCTATATGAAATGGCCCAAAATAGATCCAAAGTAAGAGGCAAATATCCAATAAAATGCCACCAAAAATGATGGTGTAATTAAATAAATGTCTCTTTTTCTCTGTTCCTTCATAATTCAAACAACTAAGCATGGATTCATGTTATAAGGAAAAACCCCTCTACATAAAAGAGTAATTCCTAAAAGTAGTGAGCATGAAAACTTAGCTGCCTAGAGCTGTGCATGGGCACTTTTACCTGGAATCAGAAAGCTCTATCTACTGTCACATCAGTTGTCTCAGCAAGTGACTGGAAGAATAATTAGCAGTCTGTTTAATAACAGTGCTCCCCGCAGCACATGCAAATACAAGCCATGCCAGGAGCTCCCAGTAACGGAGCTCCAGCATGGGTAAAGGCTGTCATGGTAACTGAATACTTTTTAAAAAAACCCAAAAACCCAAAACACAAACAAACAGCACACTACAAAAGAGTGATGCTTTCCAAAACTTAAGGTGGCAATATAAATTGTGTAACACTTCAAATTTTATTGCCTCAGACAAAGAATTCACAATTAGGACGAGTCCAAGAACAACCAGTGATAAAGGTAAGGAAGTTTCCACAGAGAGATTTCATTGCTGAAACAGGGAGGTACTACTTCACAATTCCCTCACTTGCACTGTCACAACAGTCCTGAGCTGGGATTACTGATTATTGAAGTTTGCCATTCATTTTTTCCTTGAAAAGCCTTAAATTCTATTCTGAGAGAAGCAGTAATGTCAGATCCCTAGTAAAATATTTTGTGCATCTTAAGAATTCATTTTCCTTAAAAACAAAACAAAAATACATCAAAAGCCACAGACAAGGAAAACCATCCAGAACACAAAATTAAAACCAGGTGCTATATTCAAGATGAAGACAGCACTCTGCAGCAGAAAACCTCTCTCCCTGCAGCTGCAGTCTGAAGCATCCATCTTCTGCACATAAACCTTTTCCAACCTACAGGGCTTTCTGGCAATATAGTTTGCTGTAACATTTCAATCAACATGCCCTCTTTTCACCTGAAACACAATCTCCCCTCATGGCATTTACTTTACCTAGTTAAAAATACTCTGTAACCTCCAGAACAAATCTGTTCTACAGCGCCAACCTCCACAAGTGAGGTGAGAAATCAACGCTCCTGGGGGTCTTCCAGGAGTGAAGATGAGTCAGCTTGGTAAACATTCCAGGAACCATCAGACAGTGAGCACAGTGAAAGCCAAAATAAACCCCAGAACAGCAATGGCAAGCAAGGCCTCTGTGATTTGGGCCCAACACAGGGACTTGAGACTGAAGTTATGACTGAGATTAGGAGCAGTGCCTTTTGGAGAAGGCATGGTCACTTTCCATCCGGAAGATAATTTTATGTGGCATTTCATTAAGAACAAATAATTTTAACAGGTTTAGATTTATTTCCATTTTGTTTTCAAAGCAGGTTAGAATAGAAGCATCTCAGGTTTTTTACTATGGAGTAAATATAAAGGATAACTTTCTTCCTTACTTGCAAGATGCATTCAGCAAGACAGTTTAATGGTAACATCTGTATTTACAAGAACAGAAATACTCTTCCTGCAAACATTGTTCAGATACCCCCTTGAAACCAGGCAGCAAGTGTTCTGCTTCTGAGCAAACACACTTTGCTCAGATAAATCCCTGTTCTCTTCACTGGTCTTGTTCAGAATGAACACGTCAGCTTTCACTGGTGACTATCTGGCATTTTGGCAGTGATTGGCAGAGTTCATGGCAAGAAACAGGCTCTAATTTGCAGCAAAAAGCAGTGGAAACTTTTGCAGCAAAAAGCACCGGGTATATCTCCAGGACACACTAAATTTAAAATATACAATGTCCTTTGCTTGTTCAAACACACAGCACAATAGTTGTGATGTCCTAGAAGTGTCAAATAACCCAAAAAACCCCCTAGAGGTCTCTTGGACTTCAACACAGAGAAAAGCCACATAATCATAGGAATCTTTCTATCATCATGTTTCTGGTGTGGAGTCTAAATGAACTCAAGGTTTGGCTACACTAATGTTTTAGGACAGAGCAAAGGGGGCTTCCTCTGCAAATCTCCTGTAATAACAAGGTCTGCACTGCAGGGCAGTCTTGGAACATGGAAGCCAAATCCCTTTTGGATTAAATGTGCTCCAGGATTGCATCCAGTGCTCAAAGCACAACACCAGACTAGAGCTAGTGCTGAGGAGTCTTATGCAGGGGCTGATGTTAGGTCTTCTTCCTAAGTGATTGACTACAAGGATGAAGCTTCACTGCACTGCTCCACTTGCTAACATTGACGTCAGAGACACTAAGAAAGTTCTTAAGATCTCCTACAGCAATGTCATTTGTCCTTTTGGAATCAAAAAGAGTGTGATGGGCAGGTTTCCAGAATTCAAATGAGCTGAAAATGACTCACTACCCAACAAGAGGTGCTTGAACAAGGAGCAGGTGACAGGTGAGGTAAATCCAGCAGAGCATACCTGAAGTATTTTGTCAGTCTACTTCTAAAGTGGGGGTTTTGCATTTTCCTTTATTCCTTCAAATGAGTTACTGCATGAGCTGGATGAAAGGCTTTTCTTACCAGCCCTGAAGAATTCAGGAGTGAAAAATATGTCCTCTCTCCAAAGTGCTTTATTCTATTGGTGTTTCCCAAGGTAATAATTTAACTTATTACCTTGAGACTTCCAGATTTGAGCATGAAAAAGTGTATGTGAATAACTATCACGGCCCCAACTCCTCTGCAAAAACTGCTATGTATTCCAGCAACAATTTTGTGCTCCTTTTTAAAAATTTTCTTCAAGTTTAGAAGAGAAAAAAGAAAACTGTGACTGCCCTTGAACAATAACTCACTTATTCTTCTGGGAAAGTGAGAAAACACTGATCCTGCATCCCAACTTGACTGGCTTACAGCAGTGGTGACTGGGCCTCTCTAGGGCAAATGATATTTTGCAATACCTGTGGAAATTAAGGTCACCAGGTATAAAAGCAATTACAACATTAAAGCGAGCATAAAATGCAGTGTTATGCTAATGAAGAGAAGATTGCAACTAAAACTGATTTTTAAGGTCATCATGATACAATTGCTCCAGATTCATTAAAATTTACTTCTTTCCATGCCACAGGGTGGCCTCAGAACTGTATTTGTTCCCACATTTCTCTGGAGCACACAAGGCCACTTTTGTCTATTCAACAAAGACAACTCAAAGGTGTGAGGCTGAGGCAAATCCAAATAAATTTAGGACAGTAATTTTCACAAGTGCTAAGTATTGCCCTAATTCTTTTCTATAAAGCCAACAGCTGCAGAAGTAGGCCAAGAGTGCCTCTGCAAATGACCTCACCAGGTGCATTTTGAAGAATTAAAAATACATGAGCATCAAATATTGGTTAGAGCTACTACACCATAAGATGATAAACAGCACTTACTTCTACTTATCATGTGCTACTAAGAGCCTTATCATTCTATAACAATTAAAGATAATGTAAACATATGATAATATGTAAAACAGGAATACAATTCTTTTTTTTAAAAAAGTACCATCCCAGGTTGTCCTCAAACCTTTAAAATTGCACAGGTTCAAAGCAGCCTTGCAGTTCATGTCATCTCTCACAACTCTGAAAACAATAAGCTTACAGCAAAATCAAAGATTTTCCACATCTCACAAAAGAAGAGAAGGGAAAATCAGAAAAAAATTATGTAAAACTGCAGTAAAAAACCCCTCAACATTATGCAATTATTTTTGCCATGGTTCTGGAGGAAAAGTAAAGCCTTAACAGCTGCTTCAAAGCTGATTCAGCAGTGAAGGAACACTAGAGACTTTGAGAAGCAAGACTCGGAAGTGTACATCTCATTCTGTAGTCAATTAAGGTTTTTTGGATAGAAGAATAGTTAACAACATAAAGCCTGATGAGAGTCAGGTGGATACAGCAGGCATGGAACTGAGCAATCCAAATCAGAGTTGCAAGCAATGCTGAGTGACTTTTCACAGAATTAACAAAGACTTTGTGCTGAAACCTTTGCTCTGCAGCTATTATTAAATTACATTCACTCACATCTGCCTGGATAAACAAAGCAATAGTCTTCTCCTAGTATCGCTTTCATGTCTCTCTCAGTTATAGTTCAGTTTGCCAGCTTTAATCTATCCCAGTACCTTATCTGGCTCAAGATAGGAAAGAATTATTTATAGGCTACAGATACACCATGTACAACGATGGGAGGTGTCTTTCCAAGGCAGGTATTTGCTGTTCCTCAATTACTGTAAGATTCACACTACTGAAGGTCAAAGCACATGAATCCTGTTCTGTTACAGGCTATTCTCTTTACTAAAGAAAACTTGCAGAGACAAACACAAAGCAGTTTAAAAGAACTCTTATTGATAGGTTATTAAACCTATCTTTGAAAGCAAAGGTTCAAACAGCTTAGGGAGACTAACAATAACAGGAAGCATTTCAGAACTGCCTTCCATCAGATAAGTGATCACCCAAATCACAACTTCTCTTGAGCAGATGTTTTCATCAGCCATGGAAAAATGCTACTTGGAAGCAGTCTGTGACGCAAAGAAGCAGTTCCTTCTAGCCTGACTCCTTAAGGAGGCTTTTGTAGTAATTTAATCACGCTGTGTCACTGACCTAAAAGAGGAAAATTTAGTTCAAAGAAAACTCTCCTAATTGTCTAATCAAGAGA